TATATCGTACTAGCATTTAAATCGTACCACTTCTAAATTTCCCATTTAATGAATATTTTTTTCTACACTGACAACGCCAAATCGTGGCCCTGTACCATCCCTCTTCACCCACTAGTTTAAATCGACGTGAGTTAACAACTGTGCTCGTAATAAAAGAAAAACTTTTTTTGTAGGAATTAATATAAATATTATAAATATTGTCGTACATTCGTAAGGAGATAACTCGTTATCAAGGTAAGCTATAGTTATTCAGTTTTTTTTTATTATTCCACAATTGTATACTAGATTTTTGGGTGTTTTTGTTGCGTGTCTAAATTTTGAGTTTATGCCGGATATTTGCTTTTGTTTTAGAAATGCCTTAGTTGGTTTAATCGTACCACTTGCAGTTGGTTAAATTGTACTGGTACGATTTACCCGACTACCAACCGCAAGTACCTATAGTACTACCACAAGTACGTATAGTAAGTACTACCCAAGGACAAAAACAAAAGTTATAAGAGGAAACGATCTCATTCCATCACCAGTAGCGATGATTCAGGAGAGACACTTGTTGTAGAACTAGATGATGATGATGACAGCGATGATTATCTTGAAAATATATGTCGAAAGTCCAAAAGTTGATTGGATTCAATGCGTTCGCTGTAAACGGTGGCTACATGGGACATGTACTTCGAATTTTTGAAAACATTTGTCATGATTGTTTCCATTAAGAAATATGCACAATAATTATATTACAAATAACATTCTTGTTAACTATTACTTTATTATTATAGTTTACTGTTTTTTTTGTCTCATTTTTATTAGTTATGTTGATAGCTATCATTATCATAGTATAATCATGTTATTTTACTGAGAAAGCTTATAGTTCCTTTATATAACCTAAGAGTTAAAAATTATGTTTCTATTATCTAAAAGATATAAATAATATTGTTTTATTACTTACCTAACAGTTAAAAATAAATAATTTGATTGAGAATTTTAATGTCTTTCATTCAGTGGTACGACTTAAACACCCATGGTACGATTTAAAGACTTAGTGGTACGATTAAAACGACTAGTCGGCTAAATCGTACCGATGGCAAGCCTCTATAAAAAAGCATTTTTAACAATGTTAGAATAATCGCAAGGATCTGTTCTTTTCTTCTTAAGAAGCTAAAATATGAAACTTTATTTTACATATGTATTAATTATTATAAGACGTGTTATAGTCGAAATATTTGAGTTAAAGTGAAAAGTGGTACGATATATCCGACTCTCCCCTATATCTGTGCTTGTTGCCATCTTAATATTAAATATTGTTCACTATAGAAATGACGAGAAGTGAGGAGAGGACCCGGCCGAGGTGGACATGTGGGCGATATTTTTAGTACTATTCTACCCACTCTTTCAATTAAAAAATACTGCTGGAGTAAAACGATCAATTAGTTAATATGTTAGAAAAAATATTTTTTTTTTAATTAAATATAACAAGTCACATATCATTAATAATAAAAATAATAAACGTTTATTGCTAAGACTACACCATTACAAAACAACAAACAATAAAACAAAAACAGAGAAACACTTATCCTATGTACTTATACAAAAATGGAAAATAAAATAACATAACAAGTACAACCAGTGCCGGCGTTAGAGAGACTGACACTCTGGGCAACAATATTTTGGCGCCCACTTGAAGAAATCAAAATCGAGTATTAATTTTTTTCTGAACCAATGTGAACACTGAACGTGTATTAAGAATTCTGTATTCCATCTACCATCTTCCATCTTTCCTTTAGCGTGACCCAGAGCTAACGACGTGGACGTAGAAAGTTATGTAGCTCCTTTTTTTTTTATTTATTTATTTTTATTTTTTCATTTATAAGTATCCTACCTCCACTAATCGCCCCCCCCCAAATTTGGCGCCCTGGGCCGTCGCCCCATCGCCCCCCCCCCCCCCCCCCCCCTAACGCCGGCACTGACTACAACAGGACAAATATTAAGTAAATTAAATATTAAATCAATAACAATAATAAGTGTGCAGCAGTGTAATTTAACCAAAAGGAAAACCACTCATTAAAAAGTATAAGCAATGTTGCTTTTTCACTGATTTTCAGTGATCTCCTAATGTTGAGGCACTGACAGTTAGTTACATACTCATAATAAAGACAAAGCAAAGAAATGGTCTCCTTGAGTATGATACGAATCCTTCTTTATCAAACAGTTTCCGTTAGTTCAGTCCGCTGTTGGTCTCTTATATTAAATACATTGGTTCAAAAATTTTCAAGAGCTAACAGCGAATCGCTATAACAATTTATAAACTCATTATCTTCTCTAAGTGGCTTTTCTGTTGATAAAAATAATAATATTTAAGTGATATTATGTGCATAATAGTTATTAAATAACTATTATGAAGGGAATTTACAAAGATTTTATTACACAAAACAAGCATTACAAAATTTTTATGTAATTTTAGCGTTTCACTAACATAAAGATAAAAAAAAAAATTAAGTAATTTTTAAAGCAATCAAAATAAACAGATTTTTGGTTCTTCCCAAGTAATGAAACCTATGTTTTTTTTTATTAATAATGAAGAACTCACGTTTTAGGTACCATACGAAGTTATGGCGGACTGTTTTTTAGATCATTAAAAGAGCTATTATTATTTAATACATATTTTTCGTGTATCTTGAACCGTTTTCACGGCGCACGCAAGTATAAATTTACTACTGTATCTTTGTATTTCCAACACAAAAAAAAAAATACCTACAGATTAGCGCTTTCAAACTATTTACCTACAGTCTACATATGGAAATAAATAAATTATTTTTATAATATTTATTCTATAGTTGCCTGTGGATAGTTTATATGTTTATAGGAATCATTTATATGTTTATGAAATAATTGACCCAATATAATTTTTGATAGTGGTATCACAAAGCTTATCTTTTTTATGCTATGTAGCTATAGAGCTACTTGACAGCGTCAAAACTCAGATTAAAGTTAACGTCAGGTATTTTTTCATTATGCAACATTTTTAGAATATCATCTGTTTTTAATGAAACTTTTGTTTTTTAGGTTATGGCAACCCATTATAAGACTGCCGCGCGTGTTAATCACATCGCACTTTACGAAATCAATTCTGATAGTTAGTATTTAAGTTGAATTCTAAATTTTAGATGACTGTGACTAAAATATAGAAGTGAAAATGACATTATTGAATTGGTAAAAAATTAGTCCCCCAATCGAAAAGGTGGCAGTGTATATTTCGAATAGAGTGATAGCAATAGGTGATTATTATGAACTTTGAGGACTATGAAACTCTTCCGAGCCAGAGCTCCATCACGCACATGACCGCCGGCGCGATCGCGGGGGTGATGGAGCATTGCGTAATGTACCCTCTGGACTCTGTCAAGGTAAGGCCCGACATCCCGACATCTGCTGCCACGGGAGACGGCTCTCTCTCTCTCCTACATTGACAAGCTAGTCTAACCTAGTCGTTACAATGCTTCTGTCCCCTGTCTTGTTACGCCACTATATTCTGGTGGTTATATAAAAACCTTTCTATAATTCTTGATACAACGTGAGCAGTTACTTATCATTCGGTGTTAAAATGCATTAGAAGCAGCATTACGTTGTCTTAAGATTTTAAGCTCTTGTAAGTAATGTTGTTCTTAGAGGATAAAAATACATAGAATGAGATGTTGCATTAGTTTTACAACCTGAGATATCATGAGTAATTTTTAATAAAATCTCAAAAAGTCAAGTTCTTGAAATAGATGTTGCATTTTATATGTAAAAAAATAACTGAACCTTAACAGAATAATAATAATAGTCTGTTCATAATAAGCCAGGAAATACATTTTGTAAGTGCTCCTTAAATGTATGTTTTTATTTCCACCTCAGCGTTAGTGGGTCTGCATCATCTTTGTATTTTGAAGATCTTGATCAAAGTAAATAAATATAAAATGTTATTTATTTGTAAACATGAAGGAAGCATAGTTACACTTGTAATGAATTCACTTTTAATATGTGAATATCTATTAAAGGTGATTATTTTAATGTTGCTTCTATTCAATCCCATTAGAACTGATATTTTTTTTATATTTTACTTCTTAGCTTCATGTGCTTTACAAATCTATTATTATAATATTCAGATGACAATTATAGTTGAAACTTAACATATTGTATTTCTTATAATAATATGATAATTGTCTGAGTGTAGTCTTGTCAAATATTAGTTAAAAAGTATTTTTTGTCCATTGTAGTGTAATAAAACAATAATTATGTTTAATGTATGCACTCAGTGAATTATAATGTCATGTTGAATTTATTGGACACAATTTACATATAAATAATAATTAGTAAATAAATTACTATTAATTAGCAAGTCATTAGAAAATATGACGTACCAAATGTTAATACTTATGTAGATTAAAAAAATATGTTAAAAAGTGTTTTTTCAATAAAAAGAAGAAAAATAATATCTCATTCAAGTGTAACTTATACTGTCATTGAAATTCCAAAAATAATTGTTCAACAATTGCAAATGTTATGCAAGTATTTAAAAGCACCTTGTTTTTCACAGAAAAATATAAAAAACCACAGTATGTTCCCTTCACTTGAAGAACATTCATTAAAAAAGGAGAAATGAACTTGCTTTTGATGTTTTTAATGTTTTGTAGTTGATACTGAAACTTGTATTAAATGATGTTAGTAACTTTATTGGCAATATTGAATTACAATGAAATATATGAATATAGTATCAATACACACAACACTACATCCCCGTCAGTGGGACGGACATGTTTACAACATTGATATATTTTGTAAGAATGGTGAAGAAATGGAGGGAAGATGTGTCAAAAGATTATTATTAAAGAAATATATTGATGATTGTATTTATGATATTATAAGGATAAGAGACTGTAGCATAAAGACCTAAACAGGTATTAATATTGGAAAATGTGGATGAAATGTTCTAAAGTGGCTCATGCTGTATGTGAGTAGTGGTGGGAGCTCTATATAAGTATGTAGTCCTGGGGACAGCCGGCCTGCCAGCAGACCTGCGTGCGGAAGGCCGTGTCACAGTCGTCCCGGCCCCGCTGGGTCCCGCAGGCCCGCATGGTGTCCGCGTGTCTCTGCAGCTCGTCGGGCAGCACGGCCACCACGGCCTCCACGTCCACCTCCCCGCCGGACATCATGCCAGCCGTCTCCATCACACACTTGATGTAACACTTGAGCTTCCCGTCCTCCATCAGCGTCGCTCCCTGGTTCACCTTGTCTATGAGCGCCACGTCCACCCCCGTCTCCTCCACACAGTTGTCTCTCAGCATCTTGGCCAGCTCGGCCATCTCCCCCTCCAGACCCTGGGCCCCGAGGATCACCAAATATAATGAAGCGACGAACCACCAGAACGATCCCCTCATATTGACGTGTTTGAGTATCGGCTACCGTTTGCGAGTTAACGAGATCGTTTCGGGTATTATAAAGCTATTAGCTGGGGGCTTATTAAAAGTGTGTTTGGTAAATATGTATTTATATTTTTCTCGCGGTCTGTAATCAAATGCTACTTCTTTTTAAAAGTCATCGAAAAAAATGATACGTGTCAGTATATGATGAACGCATCGCGTATGTGGTTAGTGGAAAATTATAGTTTGGGGACATCGTTTACTTTTTCACTTAAAATAAATGAACACACGATATCATTTAGCTGCCACAGGGCATTTATTAGACACTGAGTAAAGTATCCGGTGGACTTAATACAGACGTTACACTCACATCTAATAGGTGTTCCGTAGTTATTGTATCGTAAGATGTCTCTCGCCAGCTCAGGCCTCAGGGTCGGTGTAGGGTGTATGTTCCGTGTGAGGTCTAATGTAAGTATTGTTGCAGACGCGGATGCAGTCCTTGCGCTCGGCACACAACGGCAGTATTATGGAAACCTTCCGCTACATGGTGCAGCGCGAGGGGTTCTTCAGGTGAGCTCACATACAGACACTACACCTGACGTGGAGGAGGGGGGGGGGGGTGTTGATAACATTACATATCGAGGAATATAGTCATTATATTAATTATGAAACACAACTCGTCCTTCCTTCAATTTCTCTTAAATACGTTATACGTTATTGGTTATAGTTATATGCTTGATTTTAATACTAACGACAGTCGTTACAGTGAACTCATAAATAGATTCATAATTTGAAGCGTTACATTGTATATTTGTGTGAGAGGTGTTGTACGGCGGTGTGTGTCGTGTGTCACAAGTCGTGAATGTGTTTCAGTGATAACTAAAACATATCTGTATCGGTCGGTGGTGACTCTTGCTCCTCATTAATATTTCTCTCACCGTCGGTGTGTTTCCCGTCTATGTGTCTGAACCGCAGGCGACTTGTAGCTCGTGCCTCGTCATCGCTGCAGACCACAAACTGCGTCTTATTAACCTAACGATCGGAGCTAAGTCGCTCGGTTAATAATATTGTTTTGTATATTATTTCCTTGAACTGTAACATCTACATATATATCTCCAGTACACTACACGAGCCCCTTCCGAGGACCTCCATGTGTAGTGAGCTCGTGCAAGTCATTTCTTATTCATTCTTAATTTTCATACATATTTTCCTGTTCATTATTTTCTCTTAGTACATCGTCTCGTTCAGTGTTCACAGACGCGGATGTTCTGTTTAAATTACCTATCGCATTTGTATCGTGTCCGGCGTGCTGTAGTAGTGTGTGTTTGATTGTAAAGTTGTATACAAATATGATGCGAGTGGGGTCGGCGGGCGGCGGTCGGCGGGGCTGCGGAGAACACATCGTGCCTGATTAGGATTTAATGAGTAATGGAACAAAGAATTAAAAAACACTTTTGTTATAATAATAACTTATCAGAAATGACTCCATACTCGCAGCTCGAAGTCACATTTTATATTTTATACCAACTTCCAAGTCATGTTTTATATGGACTCGGAGTCGTCTCTTCATTCCGGCCGAGTCTCCGCCAGTAGATCTTGTCTTTATCAGTTCTGTTATCGTTATCAGAGTACGTGAGTGAGCCGCGCCGACCGCACTCATATAACAAATAATAATTATAACATCACCTCACACACATTGATAACTTTAATAAAAATTAATTTAACTTTAAACTTTAACGAGGCGTCATCATATTATTAATTATTATTACTATTTTGTCAATTTATATACTTATAATATACTATCTCCTCACTAACTTTCCTCTTCTTCTCTCTACACTGTTGAAAATGTCTCTGTCATATATATAAGTTTCTGTATCCCACTAGCTCAAAGGAAAAAAAGTTTATTTCAGCATCACATAAGTAAGCATTAATATTAATTTAATATTGTAATGTAAGAAGCGTTGTGTAGGTGTGTTGGGTGGGGGGCTGCCAGCTCGACCCTGTGATTGTATGAGCATACCAATATTTGTCATGTAACTATTAATAACAAAGTTTTAGTACATTTAATGAAAACCCTTTGCAATGATTGTGGTTTAACGATAAAGTGTTTGAAACTATTAATCTAGTAAACATACGATGAACATGTTTTACATCATTTTTTGTAAACAGTTGATGCTCTCACTCTACCGGAGAGATATCAAATACAGCTAAGAACTACCGCAAGGAAACTGACGGGCTTACAAAAAAAATATATACAGAAAGATGGGTTTTAAAAGAAATTCGAAACGAAGGAATGTCCGCCGGGTGCCTACCGTAATAGCTTCCATTTTATAAAAGTAAAACTAAATTGTTTTAGTATCTGATATAGTTTTGTTGTCAGCTAGTTCTAGTCATCTTCTGACGAAAGTCTAGTAAGGATCATCCAACTGACATACAATATTCATTATATATTTTTTGGTTATTTCCGTACTCATATTCGATATGAGTACCGATAGTACAGAAAGGCGTCGTCAGTATTGTAAAGTTGTTGTAGACAGCATGCAGCATGCTCGTTGTGCCGGTCTGTGTACAGGTGTAGCTGCTGGTTACAGAGCTAGCTACACGCAGCACCTTCAATAAAAGGGGTGGCGTTACTCCATAGTTGTGTACTCCGCGCTGATAGGTACAGGGGATGGCTTTCAAATAATTTAAGACGAGACACACTTTGGTCCGATGTATTATAAACAATTGATATTGATTCCTCGTTTTGACCAGCAATAGGTAGTCTTATTTGTATCTGACTAACACAGTAACAACGCAGTTTATATCACCACCGGTTCAGGTCCTCTCAACTTAATTATTTTCTTCGTTATCAACTAGAGTTTTATCAAACGTTATTAAAATTCAATCAGTCTGTGAAGTGACAACATGAAAAAAAAAAGAATTAAAAATCTTAAATGATATCACACTCCTCAATGTAAAAATGCACTACACTTATAAACTTTAATAAACGTACCATATTTATAGTTACAGTCATATACAGGGTGGCTGGTGAATTACTATCAATATTTAAGGAGAATACTCGGTACATGATTCTCATTCGAATTATGTAAAAAAAATAGGCACTTAATTTTTGACAAAATTTCCGTATAAATAAATAAAGTATTGACACGTTCCAAGTGTTCCAAGTGTGGACGCGTGCGGCGGCGTGCTGATACAACAACACGCTGCCAAACGCGTATGTGTGTGTGTGTGTGTGTATACCTAATCTGTAGGGTGTTCACTCAATGCGTAATTAATTACATAACTTTTGGTTAACTTTACTTAGAAGTTTATTAATATTTATGTTATATTAATTTTTATTTTGTCATATATGATCGTCAAATATCACGTCCTCAAGTATCGATAGTAATTCACCAGTCACCCTGTATACACAACTTCTGAGCTTCAGGTATTTCGTTATGAGGAACCAATAACAAGCTGTCCTACACAGGGTTTTAAAAGTTCTTGTTAAAATCTAAAATCGTCGAATGTTATTTGATCAAGTTCAGAATAGAAATAGGTATCTGTATGTATGAGTTTTCGGGGTGTGTAAAAAAAAGACTTCATTCTAGTTGTAGGATATAAATAAGTGTTGCTTAAAGTCTACTTGTAAAGTTTGCAAAAATTACTGTCTCTATCATTATAGGAACTCTTTAGGGGCCGTAAGATAAGCTTAGCAGGTTCAGTGGTTTTTCGATACGAGTCTTTTATAGAATACAAATTAAAAAGCAAATCTATGTTTGTTCATTAATCTAAACTTTAAAGACTTTTCAATGACTTTGATATATTTCGCCGAAAAATATACTGAAATGGCAGCTGTTTGAGTATGTTTAAAGACGTTCAGTTTAATGGTAAAAACACGTGCTAGGGTGAAGGTCGCCGGGAGAAAACAGAAACTAGAAATGATTAGTTGAGAAAAGTAATGCATCGAATGTTGGCTGGCAGTGGGTGCCTAATAGAGGAGACTAAAATAAATCCACCAAATATGTAGATACTCCTGTAATATTGTCGAATCTAATGAAATGTTACACTACAATTCACACTTCCTCATTTTTTGCCTCACTAGGAAAGCGACCGCCTGCTCCATTTTTATCTATTACAAACAGTATATAATTTGTTTTGTGTGTATCTCGTTCTACTAATTTATCTTTAATAGCTGTATTCTTTAATTAGTTTCGATAACCAGACCTGTTTCTATCGACTGCTTCCTTCACGTCCCTCCCACTGTTCACACGACATCTTTGATCAATATATAGAAATCTAATTTTACATTTTCAAGTCGTGAAACTCATTTGATGAAATGTGATAAATCCAATCGACATCCTTAAAGTATGTTACAACTTACAAGTCGGTCTCGCCACACGTCTAAAGCGCATCATGTTTTAATTCTATTAATATCTTATAATAGACACATTAACGCATAACAACAACTGTGACGTCGCTGTTTAATAACCGGTTTTATGTCATATGATTCCTGCGAACATTGAATTTGTATGCGAAAGTAGCCGGCGCGATATATTATGTACATTCAGAATTTCCTTTACATATTAATTATTAAAAAACTGTTTGAATATTCGGTCGATATTGATATTGTTTGTGTGTGTGTGTGTGTGTAGAGGATGTGGCGAGCCGCGGAGCCGGTTTCTAACGCTCCACTGACATAAGTGCCGTCTTCCGCGCGAACGGCGACCGATCTGTTGTGTGCCGTTTAGTACAATCAATATTGAAAGAAGTCATTTTATTGGAGTTATCTTGCTGGTAGTGTACATGAATGAGTCGTCAGTCGTCAGTAGATCTCTCCGCCGCCTCGGGATGCGTTTGATGTTTTAGTTTGATGACGGACAGTAGGTGAAGGTCACACAGGACATGGATGACTCCAACACATACAAGGATAGTGTGGTATAGACTGAAGAAGGTTTCTTTAGATTCAACTAAAATACAAGTCATTGCGTAATTTCGTTAAAGTGAAGGTCGCGTCTAGTCCTCACATTGGTACAACTAATATGTTTTTGTGAATAATTGACAAAAAAAAAATTATCTAGGCATATAAACATTGATAGCTGTTCGTTAGTCTTGCTAAAACTCAATAATGGTTGGAACGATTTGGTTAATTGATGTCTTGAAATATTCGTGTTAGTCCAGTGAAGGTTTAAAAGGTAAATGAATACCTAAATGCTCAGAATTAAAGAAAAATAATTACGTTTTTCCCTTGGTGTGTCCCGTCCTATCGTTAAGAAATCAACTTAAAGGAATACTGTGAAATGAATAATATTAGGATTTTTATGACTTAACTACATATTTATTCTCATTAGGTAAAAAAAAACTCGAGCCAATTAAACTTGGTAAAATAACTATATAGTTATTGTACAAAATGATCATCAATAAAATAAACCGCTAGGAATCCTTAACAAGTGATTTTGTATAGCCGCGGGAGGTGATGCTGTCCTTGATATATGTCTAGCCAGTTTATATGTAGGCGAATAAACCTGGCTTACAATAAAGGAAGGCGGGAAACATCTTGATTATGTATTTTAGGTAACCCATACAATTCTGATAGTATGGAAATGGTGTTTTATTAGAATTTTACTCTTTATTTATTTCAATATATTATAAATTATAAAGTACGAAAACACTAAACAAATGGAACCAAAAATATATTAATTGTATCTGTACTGTCATTAACAAACATGTTATATTTATATTGTATTAGTTTCCTCCGTCCTCGAGCCGCTGGTCCCCGGGAGGCGGGACTGTACCGGCCCGGCGCGGCCTTGACCGTCTACACCGCACAGTGTAACACTAACCTAACGTATTCACGAGCCGAGTGGTGTTACGATTATATTGACATAGACCGGGCACGGTGTTACTCATGTATATTACTGAACCCGTTAGATAGTGTGTAGTATATGAGGATGTAGTATATGTGTGTGTGTGTGTCTGTCCCCAGACCCATCCGCGGCATGTCGGCCGTGGTGATGGGCGCCGGGCCGGCCCACGCCTGCTTCTTCGCCACCTACGAGCAGAGCAAACACACGCTGTCCCAGCTCACGAGGCATCGACACGACCACATCATACACGGTAAGGTTACTCTCACCGTCCGTGAGCCTAGAGTCAGTGTCGTGTGATCAACTCGTTGTGTCGGTATGTTCCAGGGTTGTCGGGCTGCCTCGCCTCGCTGGTCCACGACGCCGTCTCCAACCCCACTGAAGGTGAGTTCAGTACCGTCTACACTATACACATACACACCATACACACTAAGTGTTTTAATTGGTGTCCTTGAGTGAGTGTCGTGTACAGTCCGCTCTGTGTCCACTGCATCATCATTAACTTCAACGTTCCGTCATACAAACGCTCGTTTATAATGACACTATAATCACATGTTAATGTATTAGGATCGTTGAGAGAACAACTTTGTATTATTGTGCATTTTTTATTGTTTAAGTCTAAAGTCAAACGGAACATTACTGACAGTCATTAGTATCGCAATAAGTATTCAACTAACATTATATATATTGATTACTGTCAGTTTCAGTTATCACATTGTTTTAACCAGTTCATAGGTAAAAATATAATAACATATTAGATTCAGGTCATGTTAGCGTCGGTCACGGGGAACCACGTGTTACATGTTACATATCTGATATCATTACATCTATATGTATAGTATGACGGACGCTCGCGAGGCTCGGGACTCTGAACTTGAACATATTCCTTAATATGTGTGTCTTAACAGTGAAATAACAATCAAAAATAAGGGCGGCCTTGAGTACAGTCGGCGCCGCGGGTCACACACACACCTCACACCTCAAACACCCCGCGTCATGACATAATATAATCACAGTATTTGTTATTCAAATAAGTTATTAACTAACAAGTGCTAGCTGTACGGAGCGCCCGAATGTTATGTAACTGAGAGGAAACACAAACATGGACATATAGCGGTAGTTAAAGATATATTGATAAATATTAAATACAATATATATAAGTATCGATAGGTGATGGTCGGTGGTGATGAGCCATCATCATCATCATCATCATCATCATTCTTTGACAGCTTTGCGTGTTATCGTTATATTACATACATATCGTGCTCGTGGTCGCTCGTGCATGACTCTAACCTGGTACTATTACCGAGCGTGTAGCAGATGCATTACTTTCTTTTGCATATAATATAGAAAAAAAATGAACCTCGCGAGGTCATGGAACAGGGAACGGAGAATAAAAGTTCAATTAGATTATTATTTTATTACAAGTTATATTAGTTATAAGACGCTGCTGAAACGAGGAGATAATTTAAGTGACAGCTATCAGATAAAAACTATGTACATGATAACAGACGCGGTATTTAAGTTAGGCGGAGAACGAGACGGATATATATGAAGGGAAGAGTGGCAGATGAAGAGGGAGATCTGGAGCAGGACACGCTCGATAGGAGAAAGAGAACTAGTTTGAGAGACACGACACACTTAGAACACCGTCAGAACATAGTTGATGTGTTTTATATTGGTGCACAACTCAATTAGATATGATGACGTTAGAAGCGACAGAAACACGAGCTCATACAAGATACACTGAAACAAACATAACGTACGAACTTGAATAACGCAATCGGTGGTACTAATGACTGAATAAGATTGTAAAGTAATTATAAACGAAAGTGGAGTAATTAATGACCGGGAAATAATGTCCAACGAGACGAATTACGGACAATAGAAACGATGACGAGCGCTCCACGCGTGTATAGAGAGAGACTGTGGACGTGGACCTGGACCCGGGGTGAGGGGGGGAGAGTAGCGCTGAAACATAGAGGAAAGTAAATAACTGACATTATACGACGACAAGAGTTGATGCGAGAGAAGTAGCGATACTAAGTATTTGAAAAGGATTTAGCAAAATAAGATATTGAAGGTAGACAAACAAACGGCAACATGTACTGTAGCTGTATTTAATTGTTCCGATAACGCGCTCAATACAGAGCTCCTTCGATATTTACATATTTACATTCAACACATCTAGTGTGAGATAACGCGCTCCTTTTAATTTACAAGCGACTTCTAGGAAACGAATCTTTCTGAGATAAAGCATGTCTGAACAGTCATGATGACCGTCTCGGTGCTTCAGGGTTAGGGTTGAGGTTTCATGTAACAACTACCACACAACAAGCACTGTGATTGTTTATGCGGATGTTGAAGTGTGGGACGGAAGGCGGTCTAAACGTTACGGACCGACGGACGTGGGAGACTCCGACACACACGGAAAATAAACCTATGTGTGGAGTGGAACAACATAACAAACAACAGCTTATTAAAGTTACCTGAACACAACGAACAGACCACACTGACGACCTTCCTGTGAGATGTATCATTCATGACTTTGATAAAGATGAATGTCACGAAAGCAAACTAACTCTAGGTGACCCTCGAGGTATTGTTCTCGGATATGTGTTGCATTGATTTGTCGAACGGTTTTAAACTTTGATGTTTCATAAAAAATATGTAGTGTAAGTGCAGTCTGACGTCTCTGTACACGTCACGAACACAACCATAACTGAGGTCCTTCAGGAAGATAGAACTCAGATAACATTGCAAAGACAATCTATGGAGATAATGCTATAATGTATACAGTAGTAAAATAATGTCTTGATTGATTTGAATACAAGTATGGATTATGTAATCAGTGTGTTAATATCTGTAACCCCACGGACCCGCTGTACGTCGTGCTCGTGTGTCACACAGTGTCTCGGCCTGTTGTCATTGTATATCACATGTCCCTGAGCCGCGCGTCATCTCCTGCGGTCCCTTGTAATCTACTCTACACAAGTCTACAACACACCTCGTACATCCCTCATGAGCTCCTCTATACTCACACTGTCCATTAGCCGTTTTGTCTGTGTGTGTGTGTATGTGTGTGTGTGTGTGTGTGTATATGTGTGTGTGTTGTGACGGCGCGCGGTCCGTCGCCTCATCTATAACACTCGCCACTGAATCGATCGTTTTACAAATTGCATTTTAATTGTTATTATTTATTTGTGTTTCTTAATATTCTCTTATTTGTTATTAATTAGTAGTCAATTACTCTCTGGAGTGACAATACCTACGTACGCCGATTAATTCAGATTTAATCTTTTTTATAAATAAACATTAATTTAAATCATGGGCTGTATTGTATTTAATTTAAGGATAAATATATCGTTTTATGTTGTATTTAGATAAGATGTTTTTAGTTTTTTTAAGGATCTGAGGAGAGCTATACTGACGTAACGTTCAGATGTCCTTTAAGGCCTCTACCGCTCCCTCAGTACTAATGAAAATTATAAAATGTTGATTACAGATCAAGCCTTTAAGCCACTTGACGAACTTAGTTTTTATAAATAGAATAAATCTTTTCCACTGAACATGAGACGAGAGGTCGCGGTCGTATAGGAATGTTTGAACAGTTGTAGAAGCGTGCTTAGAGTGGGGACTGGGGAGGTATATTGTATGGATAAGGAATATTTTGCGGACAGGGATTTTAAATATGGTATTTTTAAGTGTATAATTACGGGTTTGGCGAGTTCCAGGGAACATGAAATCAGGGTTATGAACCGACCTGGTCATCAAACACACACGGGACATGTTACAACCAACAGCTAGGGTTTTTTTCTCCAAATTTGATAACAGAAGAACAACTTTCCTGTACTTGAAAATAGGTCGGGACCATACCAAAGCTCGATTTGGATAACTTTATTTTGAGCATGAATGACCGATGTCGAACTATAATAATGTTAGGGGAGGAAATATTTATTATTAACTTTAATTATACAAATACAAAACATGCATACTTATAAGAAAAATTCTCTCAGGATCTATACACACACAAACTACTTTTAAGACTAAATCACATAAATACTATACACGAAATATACATCAAATTCAAATACCTAAGTCTAGAATTAAATGCTATGGTAACAAAACTATACAATTTGAGGGAGCGCTAATGCGCTAATATTTAAGGAAACGTCTTTTTTTAAATTTAAGGCTAAATTAAAAACATACTGTCAAACTTTATAATTATATTTGAATGTTTGTATAAATAAGGTCACCATTAACTTCATAAATGTTTATTATTATGTTACTAGTTTTAAGTTTGTTATGTAAGTGAACTTTGTTCTTAATGGGCACTAAATCATCTCTAAATGACTTTTTTCTTATTTTATGATTTTAATTTTAATAATTCAAAACATAAAACCCATTATAAACAAGGCAAAAATTACACCCAAAAAAAAAATAAAAAAAAAAAAAATTAAAAAATCTTTCGATGCATGTCTTTTTATGTATTGCAAGTGTAAACCATAATATAATTCAATTTTTTATACATACCTATAATGGTTTTAACAAAATATATATAGAATTTCATATAATAAGTTAGAAATGAATTATCCCTCGGCAATGTTGATGTCTGTATATTAAACCGTTCATATGTAGTACTCGTATGTCTAATGTCATGTCGTGTTTTTCGTTCCACAGTGGTGAAGCAGCGGCTGCAGATGCTCAACTCCCCGTACCGCGGCGTGTGGGAGTGCGCGCGCGGCGTGTACCGCGCCGAGGGCCTGCGCGCCTTCTACCGCTCGTACGGCACGCAGGTGGCCATGAACGTGCCCTTCCAGGCCGTGCACCTCGTCACCTACGAGTGGGTGCAGGGGCTGCTCAACCCGCGGCGCTCGTACGAGCCGCGCGCGCACCTGGCGGCCGGCGCGCTGGCCGGGGCGCTGGCCGCCGCCGCCACCACGCCGCTGGACGTGTGCAAGACGGTGCTCAACACGCAGGAGGGCAGCGCGCGCGCCGAGGGCCTGGCCGCCGCCGCCGCGCTCGTGCTGCGGGCCGGCGGGCTGCGGGCCTTCTTCCGCGGCGTGCGGGCGCGCGTGCTCTACCAGATGCCCGCCGCCGCCATCTGCTGGCTCACCTACGAGACGCTCAAGCATGCGCTGCTCACTTTCGACATGGAGGAGAGCGGCCCCTGTGCGGGGTCGGCGGGGCCGGGCGCGGGGAGTGGCGCGGCGGGGGCGGGGACGGCGGGGGGACCCCTCGCGTGCGCCGCGCTCAGGCTGGCCGCCGCGGACGTGCCCGGACCACTCACCAGGACGTAGGCCGAGGGTCGCTCCGGCGGGGGGAGGGGGGGGGGCCGCTGACTCACATCACACCGCGCCCATGTTCTGGAACTGATATTTGAATATTATCGTGTCGCCTCTCAGCAGCAGCGGTGCGTCGTCAGTGGGCGTCCCCCCCTCCCCCCCCCCCTGTACATGTACAGTACACCTGTTGTTGTTGTTAATTATTTTACATATTTTTTTAACATTGTTTATTTCCTCCCGGTCGTCGGCCGCACGCCTCACTCGTTGTTCATGAGACAGTATTTTTGATATGTGCGTGTGTCCGAGGTGGAGCCGGTGCGATCGTTATCACAATTTATTTGATATTTATTGAAATTATAAAAATATTTTGGACGAGAACCCGTTTACAAGTGTTCGACACGCCTACCGCCGGACGTGTCAGTGACCTCACCCTGGTCCCCGGTGCGTGCGTGTGTATGTATGTGTGTGTATGTGAGTGTGTGTGTGTGTGTGAGTGTGTGTGTGTGTGTGTATGTGTGTTCCCGTCGAGTCCCGTCCTCGTCCCGGTCACGTTTCCTCTAGCAGCAGTCCGTCTCCGTAGTACTTAACCCGCCCCACCCTTGTCGGTTGTATCATAATTCATACGTCATGTTGAGTGTCATGCCTCATGAGTGAGCCCTGTTTGTGTGAGGTGATGTATGACGTCACTCCTCTCCGTGGTTGTCTGTATATAGAGGCGGTTCTCTCCGGCCGAGGGTCGCTGGGTCGCCGATCCTCGTAGGCTGAATGTTTAAATGTAAAAATTCTGTAGCGATTTATTTTGTACGATCAATTATTATAATGTATGTAAGTACGGTATGCGAGTGTAACTCCGCCGTGGTCGCCTGATCCCGAGTGTGTGTGTGTGTGTGTGTGTGTCACATGACCGACTCGTCATCAACACGCGCGGTCACGAGTGCTGTCTGTAAGCGAGGCTGTGATTTATATTCTTCCTTCCTTGAACAACTGTTTCTGGTTAAAGTCATTGTATGTGTGTAAACCGTGTGCCTCTGTGCGAGTGTGTGTGTGTGTGTGTGTGTGTGTGTGTGTGTGCGTGCGTGCGTGCGTGTGAGTCACATCCGTCTGATCATGTTCACCGTGTCACTCGCACTCGTACAAACTAGTGTCTAAAATGATAATTTTGATGAATTTTCAAGTAGACGAGGTTATCATTAAAATTATATAATTTGCGCAAAAAAATAATAATAAAGAAGTGAACTATTGTTAAGGTTTTAATGTAGAAGGATAGACGTCGAGTGGGAGGTTGGTCGGCGGGAGTTGCTTGTATATTGACTTAGTTATAAAGATAACATGTGTATAGTGTACTATAAATAAATATGAACACATCACCCGGCGGATGGAAAACTGGTCGGCGGTGCTAGGAGCGTGTACACGAACACACACACACACACACGCGCGTGTCTGTGTGTGTGTGTGTGTGTGTGTGTGCGTGACGGCCGGAGCGACTCGAGCGCTCGAGGGGAGCTCGGGAGTGTTTTTATTGTGTTTGTACATTGCTTATATTTTTTATTTGTTATATTTATGAGTTTTATAGATGAGTGCGATAAAAATTAATTATAAAGGTTGAATAATTGTACAAGAGATGCACCAAGTGAACGTTTGATAAAAGAAAAATTCGACAAAAAAATTGAATAAACAGTTGGACAATAATATGACTTTCATTTTACTATTTCGCCCGGACGAGTGAAGGTAGCTTGAAATGATGTGCAGTTGTTACGGAATGGACAGAGACTGACTGACACGACTACAGCTCCCCACCGGGAGTCTCCGCACACAACTATGGTGCGTTTATGTAGGTATTGTAAAACAATTACTACTAGGAATCTGTCTCTTTTTTAAATATCAAATGCTCTAAAACTTTCTCAAATCAATGAAAAATCAATTATTATTATTTTTAACTTATATTAAAAACTTGGTACTTGCAAACTGCTTTTTTTAAAGTTGAGACTCCCCTGCTTTGTGAAGAAGATATAATTTAGTTTTGTTTGTTTATTTTATATAATTATTTTTAAAACTTGAATGGAATTTCTACTATACAAGTAGATTGTATTACCTTATTACATCAGCTATCTGTCAGTGAAAGTTCGGTCCAAATCTGTCCAGCAACTCCAAAGTTAGCTGTGAACAAAAGTTTTTTTTTTATTATACCGTATACTTCACATATCTATTGATGGTAAACAGGTGTCTTACATAATTTGAAAGTTGTTTAGTGAAAACATGATAATGAGATTACAAACAGACGGTTTAATTTTATTTACTGTTCGCTGTTCTTCCGCCATACAAGTCTTCATACAGGGAGTCAGGAGTCACACTAATTGTCTTGGAGTGCGGCAGGTAGTTTACATATGACCCTGGGAGCGCATTGACAGATAATATATAGGGTGACTGGTGAATTACTATCGATACTTGAGGACGTGATATTTGACAATCATATATATTATATCCCGTTTCCAGGAGAACCTTTCAAAAATCTGGGATTAAAAACTATCCTATGTTCTTTCTCAAGGTCACTCTATCTCTGTACCTAATTTCATTAAAATCAGTTCAGTGGTTTAGGCGTGAAAGTGTAACAAACAGACTGACAGACAGACAGAGTTACTTTCGCATTTATAATATTAGTAATACTTTCAAGTAATGTGGCGTTGAATAATGAATTGTACTGGGCCAAAATAACACCATTGAACATGAGTTAACTTTGATGCCTTTTAATATATATTACTAGTTTTTGCCCGCGACTTCGTCCGCGTTAGTTTCGTCATTAGTAATATATGTATAGCTGACCGGGCGAACTCTATTCCGTCTTAGAGGCCATAAATAATCAGGTTTTTCTTGTTTCAATCAAACAGAATGATTGACATATTAGTTAGTTGTCAAATCTAATGTCAAAAAAAGCGTTTGTATGGGAAATAGAAAAGGGCTGTTTTTAGGGTTTTCCCGGCAATTATTCCAATTTTTCTCACCTTTTATACCTTCCCTGAACCTCCACGAACATTTCAAGACTAAGATAAGATAAATCCGTTCAGCCGTTCTCGAGTTTTAGCGAGACTAAGGAACAGCAATCCATTTTTATATATATAGAAGATAGTTTGCAAAAAATAATTAAAAAAATAGAGAAAGCTTATTTATAAGACTATATTAATGAATTAGTTTTACTCCATAACAACGACTTTCATGTGAAGTGCTTTTGAGACGGCCTTGTATGGGGCTTTCCCACTGTGCGGCGACCGACGACCGACGGCAGCGGCGGCGATGCAGATTACCTATTCGTTAAAAGGAACTTTTACTTCAAAAGCCAATTTTTTTAACTTGATACACCCAACACTTCTAAATATGATGTTCCTAGGTTCAGTGGTTAAAATTGTGTATAAAAAAAGTTTAGCTTCGTAGAATTCCGTGTGTAGAGTTTCACCCCTACGGTGGTAAAAATAACAAACGATTTTAAATTTCAAAAACGCTGGAACAAATTGTTTTTTTTTATTTCTTATAAAGTTTCATGTTTTTATCCCAATAAATGACAAAATCCCATACAAGCTTTCAACCCTTATTTCACCCCCTCACTGGTTGAAATTTCAAAAACGCTATAACAAATGTTTAAATATATCCTATCAAGTGCCTAAATATAAAGTTTCATGGTTTCATCTTTTGTAATTAAGAAATCCCATTCAAACTGTCAACCCTTATTTCACCCCTTCACTGGTCGAAATTTCAAAGACACTAGACCAAATGTTTAAATATATCCTATCAAGTGCTTAAATATAAAGTTTCATGGTTTTCTCCTTTAAAATTCAGAAATACCGTACAAACTTTCAAACCCTATTTCAACCTCTTCAACCCTTTTTTCGCAATAAAAGGTAGCCTGTATTTTTCCCAGGGTCTAAAAATTGTCTGTGCGAAATTTCATCAAAATCGTTTGGGAGGTTTAAGCGGGAAAGCGTAACAGACAGACAGACAGAGTTACTTTCGCATTTATAATATTAGTTGTGATTGACTCCCCCCTCGTACCCCAGTGACGCTTACATAGAGCCTACATCGCATGCTGGCTAGCTGAGCACGATGAGCGTCAACCACGCGAGTTTTTCCTAATACTTGCATTTTTAAACTCGTGATATCTTCCGAATGAAATGTCCGAATTGAATAATTCAAAGAGTTATAAAAAGGTATTGAAGCCGTCTTGAATATAAAGTAATTTATTTTGATAAGGATTAATACCAAGTAACAAATAAACAGCCTTTTCAGGCGGCGGCATATAAATAAATTTTTTAGAATAAAAAACCGCTTACTGTGACATAACTATAATATTTAGATATGTCTCAAAATGTGTTGTCGTGACACTTTTTGTAGATGATGATGAGTTCTGCAAAGTCGTAGTAAATGATTTGGTTCTATCATCAATAGTTTTCGCAGCGCACGCGACGTAAGGAATTTTTCAGATCATTTTTTTCCACCTGGGTTTACATTATTGGAGTTTTAGTAAGGATCACTAATTTCTATTTAAATATAATATAGCTTATATTACTCGGGAATAATGTAGCTTTCTAAAGGTGAAAGAATTTTTGAAATCGGTTCAGTAGTTTCCGGAGCCTATTCATAACAAATAAACAAACAAATCTTTCCTCTTTATTAATATATATAGATAAAAATTAATATAACATAAATATTAATAAACTTCTAAGTAAAGTTAACCAAAAGTTATGTAATTAATTACGCATCGTGTGAACACCCTACAGATTAGGTATACACACACACGTGTGGCGGCGTAGTGTTGTATCAGCACGCGGCCGCACGCGTCCACACTTGAAACACTTGGAACGTGTCAACACTTTATTTATTTATACGGAAATTTGGTCAAAAATGAAGTACCTATTTTTTTTACATAATTCGAATGAGAATCATGTACCGAGTATTCTCCTTAAATATTGATAGTAATTCACCAGTCACCCTGAATAGGAGTCCGGGCGTGCTATCAACAGGTAGTCTAACGGGTTGGGGGGGGGGGGGTTTACGATTATATCCTAATACCAGTTAAGTTAAACCATAAGCCAAAGCAGAACTGTCTGCTTCTTTTCCAGCGGAGCCTGTGGCACATAATACTAATCTTTCACTATGGTCGACCTTAGTCACCTAAGATCAATACCTTTCAGCTTTAGCTGACCAAAGTCGTTTAATTTAGAAAATATTTCAATTTAAACTTTCGTCTGACAATCTGCTTCCAACGTAGATACGCGGAATACTGCCGCCACCTTTTGGAAACCTAAAAACAATAAATGTATTTAGAAACAAATTTAAATTGCATTTAATGAATTTACAAACTCAGTCTTAATTAAACATATTATACATTATGTGTGCCGTGCGTTGGTCGTGTGTAAATTCTTGCTGCTTGGTGCTTATGGTTATCAGCAATTGTAGAACTTTTGTCATACATTTTGCTGGTTGATCGATGCACCTTTTCATTGTTTTATTGAAATCCCAATCTAAAATGCAATTATAATTTATCATATGATATTTACTAAATTAATTTCCACAGACGGAAGCCCCATTGAATAACACAATAATGTCACTCACAAAACCATTTTATAATGATATTAAGAAGTTATATTTTGTAACTTACCCACTGTAGCTTTTATGTCTTAGGTAGGGGAACCCGGGGCGGAACGGGGAACCGGGGTGGAATGAGAAAGGTGTGTGGTACTCATTAGAGGTAATAGAGACGCGTGAACATTGCGCACAAGTGTGAGAGTGCGCTAAATTTGGATTTTATCAAAGATCTACGAAAAAAACCCACAAATTCTATTTTTCGCTTTGAAATATTAGGGTAATTACATTATTCATTATTCTTTTTTGAGATATTTACAATACATGTTGGTTTGAATATTCTTATGACTAACTAAAAGTCTAGTGATGATTCAAATCAAACAAATACATAACCGGCCATAACACGTGAACGGTGCGTCCGGGCACAATGGGAGGGGCACAATGGGGTAATACCCTGAGTGGAAATTTGGATCGGGTCCGGATAAGGCTAACCCTGCTTACGGTCCGGAACGGATAGGGGCGATCGGATAAGGTTAATATAGGTTTTGTAACATTCCCTTAGAGAACCCTGCTGAGAAAACTGCACAGGAAGCGCCAACTGCACCAGGCGGCGATCTTGGATTCACTGAAATACCTAAAGATCTGCCATCTACCAAAACACCTCAATTTCACCCGATACCTATTAATAATAATTTTTCTGTCCAAGATAATGATTTGATGTCTACGAATGACGACAATCTTCCACCACCAGAGAGCGTTTATCTAAATCCTAAACCCGAATGTTCATGGATGCCCGATTATCCTCCTCGTACCATTAGCAACACAAATTTTTCAATTACGTCACTAAAAGATCTGATTCCGTTGCCAAAAATAAAATCTGGAATGAAAAGAGTTATAAAGAAGCGCGGAAAAACCGCAATCCTTACCGCCTCACCTTATAAGATTGTATTAGAGGAATCTATTAAAAAGATACAAAATATTAAGGAAAAAAAGTAGAAAAAATTAATCAAAGACTGATTTTAAAAGATAAAGAAAAGTTAAATAAAAGAATGAAAACTAAAGAAAAACCAAAGTTAAAAAAGAAAGGGAAAAAAACAAAGAATTTAAGATTAAGTCAAAGAAACAAATAAGAATCGAAACTGAAGATGAAGACTCGGAAGAAGAAGAGGCGATCTGCTTGTATTGCAATGATTTATACTCTAAGTCAAGTGAAGGCCGGTGTTCCTGTTCCATTTGTAAAAAATGAGCACATTTGGCATGCGCTGGCATAGATAGTGACGATGATAAGTGTTCTAATTTGTGAACTGTGTCAATAGTTGATACCCCATCGTGCCCCAAATCGTATCCCATTGTACCCCAGGGGGTGGGACGGAATGGGAAAATTCTCTTTATTTTTCAAATAAAAATTTTTCATTGTGATTATTAATTTAGATAAGTTTAGCTTCAATTTTTTTGTAATAAAATAAATAAATAAACCTTCAAATTGCCAATAAATAATGGTGTTGTTTCATTCAAACTCCGAGTGCCGTCCGACAATAATAAAAAGTAGGTAATAATAATTACACGAAATAACATATGATTTATGATTCTTCTTTCCATCACACTTTTCAAGCTTTAGATTGTTGACATTGAATTTTCTTTTTAATGTGAAGCCAATATTTTATAATTACTGATTTGTTAAATTAAATTTGTAAATAAGAATTATTAAACAGCTGATAACGCGTGATTTGATTAGACACCACAATACCTACGACAAAGTCGGCGTGTTTAAATGGTGTGAGTCACAATAATAACAATAATTTAATGATCAGAAACAAACTTAAATAAACTTTATAGTGTAATTTGCACTCGCACGGCGTTGTCGTTTTAAAACCTTTTCAAAATGTCCACAGCCTTGTTCAATGCACTTTAATGACCGTTTTCGCAATTGTGGTTTTATTTTAGATAATACTGCAGTCACTTTTCACTTTTACAGAGGCGGTTATTATCTTATTTTTTATTTCCTCGACATTTGTTGTCTCTGTGTTATAAACTAGCGATTTAATTCGCCCCCTCAAAAAAAAAGTCGAGTCGCGTCAAATCAGCTGCTCTAGGAGGTCAATGGACACGTGCGTAGGTATTTGATGTGTGCCGGCTGTCGCTGTGCGTGCGTAGATATTTGTAAAATACTATTTTAACCTTGAAACAAATATCAGTCATCTTTAATTGAATGATGATTACTAATTTGATATTTCATTTTAAAAATGTTAATACTCTGACTTACGATCCATTTTCGTTTGAATGAAGTGTTTAGATAACTGTGTGGGATGACTGTAATTTACTTAGTTCTATGATCTATCTAAATTTGAGAAAAAAATGACCTACATAAAAAACTATAAAAATCGATCCAGATACCGATTCTGAACAAACAACTTTCAGGGTGTCGATAATTGGTGCTCAAAATTAAAAATTAAAAACAAAAAAATATATATAATGAAATAGGTATACAAGTCATCTTAACATTTTTATATAGATTTATAATGTGCAGTCTTTATTACCTTTTTTATCTAAATAAAGGAAAGTGCCTACAAACAGTATTGCGAAATAACTACTTGTGTCACTTCTTTACATAGGTAAAACAAAAGCAAAGTGTTCTAAATATGCAGAGATTATAATTTCACTGGATAACTACAAACCAAAAAAAGTTATTTATAGTTTTTTATATAATATAACAATGGCAGTGTTTAATTCAGTAAAAATTACAAGTCTATTTACATTCAATCAGAAACTCTAAAAGAAACGAGGAAGAAAAATACAATCAAGACAATATGCTATCATTCAATTTTAAGATTTTTCATTTAACTTTTCTTTTAATATATTTATTTGTATTAAATAAAATATTTTATTTAGCGGCAATCAACATTTGAGACTGTACACTCATCACATTCTGTTAAAACTGAAAAATGCGTTGATACATAAAAAGATGACAATGATGCATCTTGTAGTCACCACTTGGATTTAAATATGAATCAAAATCAGCTACAAAGGAGTTTTCCTATTTCCTCTCAATTATTTCCTAAAGGTAAGTTATGGACATATAACTAAGATTAAAATTAACTATGATTGCTATATTTACTTTTTAATTATAAAACAGCATAAAGCATTTTAAATACGATATAAAGGAGATCATTCAAGCTTCATACATTTTTGGGCCTTTTTTGAAAGTGCCGGCCAACAAAAAAAAATGGTACATATTTGTAGAACTAACCATTTGGAACAATAGTTAATATGGCGCAAAAGTTGTAGGATCCAAGATATTGAAGTAATACAAGTTTCAAGATTCATCATTTTCGTACTTTATTTTTTTCTGAAAGTGCCAGGAAACATAAAATAATGATTGATATTGCTAGAGTTAAGCTTCTCAAGCAAATCATAGCCATAATCTGTTAGAAACCTGTCGTTTTTATGTAATACTAGCTAACCCGACAGACGTTGTTCCGCCAAGTATCTGAACGCATGCAACACATTTCTTGATGATTTTATTATTTGTCTAACCTAATATGTATATCGGGGTGCCATTTTTATATACTAAAAAAATGGGCCTAGAAGCACTTTTAACTGATTTTGTACCATTTCATGTCGGATTTGATCATATGACGCGAGAGCAAGTGGCGCAGAGGAACCTCATAGTGCCAGAGCGATAATTTGGTAATCCTGATAGTCCGATTGAAGAAAGAAAGGCCATCTCTATACTTGATGGCACTTACATATATTTACGGAAGAGCACTAATTTCTTTTTTCAAAGAAAATCTTATAGCAACCATAACTTTCGAAATCTTTTAAAGCCTTTTTTAAATATTTGTTGCAATGGAACCATAATAGCGGTAGATGGCCCATCGCTGCAACAACATCCGATGCCTAGTATTTAAATGATGCACTGAATAATGTATTTCACTGGTTTTACCGGCCTGTTGACATTTTTATATTAGACCGTGGTTTTAGAGATGCTATAGAAAATCTGGAGTCATGCGGTTATGTACGTGCTCTGCGCCACTTGCTCTCGCGTCATATGATCAAATCCGACCCGAAATGGTACAAAATCAGTTAAAAGTGCTTCTAGGCCCATTTTTTTAATATATAAAAATGGCACCCCGATATACATATTAGGTTAGACAAATAATAAAATCATCAAGAAATGTGTTGCATGCGTTCAGATACTTGGCGGAACAACGTCTGTCGGGTTAGCTAGTATTACATAAAAACGACATGTTTCTAACAGATTATGGCTATGATTTGCTTGAGAAGCTTAACTCTAGCAATATCAATCATTATTTTATGTTTCCTGGCACTTTCAGAAAAAAATAAAGTACCAAAATGATGAACCTTGAAACTTGTATAACTTCTATTACTTGGATCCTACAACTTTTGCGCCATATTAACTATTGTTCCAAATGGTTAGTTCTACAAATATGTACCATTTTTTTTTTGTTGGCTGGCACTTTTAAAAAAGGCCCAAAAAGAATGATCTCCTTTAAACCACAGATTTACTAGATTTGCAAGTATTGAGATTTATTTCATATTTTCTTCTGCAAATATTGATGGTAGGTTTTGTTAGTAGTTATTTATGAATTAAAATTGCAATATATTAAAAATTGTATTCAATAATTATGTCCGTAGGTAATTTGTACACAATGACAAATATATATATTTTTTGTCTCTCAATAAACATTTATCCCGGTTTTATATAACCTGATTCCTTTTTCAGTAAATACAGATATAAACTCAGATGAGTGATATGATCTATATTTAAACCTAAGATGTTCAAAAATGTCTTCTCATCACTTAATTGATTATCTGAAATCCCTTATGACTACCATTAGTCCAGTCATTAGAGATATTACTGTATACATAATTAAACATAACTAACTACAGTAGGACCCCGATTATCCGGACCTCGGTTATCCGAATTCGCGATTATCCGGACTGCCAATCGCGACGAGTTTATTCTAACATTAACATGTCAGAACTTGCATAATACCAAATACATACATAATTATTGTAAGCAAATTATACGTACATTATGTACAATCTATACTAATATTATAAAGCTGAAGAGTTTGTTTGTTTGTTTGAAAGCTCTAATCTAAGAAACGACTGGTTCGAATTGAATAATTCTTTTTGTGTTGGATAGTCCAGTTATCGAGGAAGGCTGTGGGCTATATAACATCACGCTACGACCAATAGGAGCAAAGATATAGTGGTAAATGTGTAAAAAACGGGAGAAATTATTTCATCTTTGAAGCCTTCCCTTGCGTGCGCCGTGAAAACGGTTCAAGATACACAAAAAATATGTATTAAAGAATAATAGCTCTTTTAATGATCTAAAAAACAGTCCGCGACAGTATAGGTCTATCTTTTAAGATTAACTCACAAAAACCGTTTTTATGGTACCTAATTTGGTCGAAATAGTTTGTTTAAGTTGTATCAACATAATAATATTAATCTTTATTCAAATAAACAAATAAATATGTTATTGGTTAAGAGAACTTCATTGTGAAAAAAAAACATAGGTTTTATCCTGAAAATTCTACGTGAACTCGACCCTTCCGAAAACCCCGCAAGAACGGGAACTACATATGTGGGAAGAACCAAAAATCTGCCGGAAGTCCCTATTCCACGCGGATGAAGTCGCGGCAAAAGCTAGTTTCTTAAACGTTGATTTTCGATGATATGTATTTGTTGTTTTAAATAAACACCTAACATTACATATGTATGGTACAGACTACATATGTACCTACATATGCAAAAAGCCCGTTTTTCTTCATATATTGGATTATCCGGACTTTCAATTATCCGGATGCCTACCGACAACAATTAGTCCGGATAATCGAGGTCCTACTGTATATCAATATTTATAAAACATACTATTTATTGTTAATTTTTTTTGATAAATATAGATTTTTAATTACCAGATAATGCAATGCCATATCAATAGTTTTTTTATTAGATAAAATAACAAAACATTATTATATATTTTATTATCATGTTACAATAAAACAAATACTTTATTTATTTCAGTTAAAACTCTAAAACAAAACTTTTCGAAAGAGATAAGGCTGTTAAAAGCTTGACATCTGAAATTGAAGGAAAAATGTAAGACCCAAAAGAAACTTAATCTTCAGGCAAAAAGACTGTTTTAAGTTTTACTAAATTATATCATACATTTAATAATTCATAGTTGGTGCACGAATGTTAACAGGCTGCTTACGGGAAAGTTTACAAATTGTCAAAATAATGAGGATAATGTTACAGTCCAAGCGATTACATATTATAATACTCACAAAAAGAAAAAAATAATATTATCAATTAATACTTCCGGCGCAATTAATAAATAGTGCTTATTGTTATTTATATTTCCTCAAATTATGTCCATTAATCAATGCTATAATAATTTTGTTTTATAATGTATAATGTAAGGTTAAGCTACTAGAATCTTATTTTACTGATCTGGCTAGGTTATCTGCTGCTTATCAACTTCCGGTGTAATATATTAATATTTAATGTTACGTAATCCTGTATTATTAAATAATATTTGTCCGTAAATAATCATTAGAATAATGTTTAATATTATCTTTTAATTTTTCAAATTTAATATTAAATTAGGTCAAGATGTTTTTGTATAAATACCGCCAGTTTAAATATATAAAGATTAAATCTTTGGTTGATTAAAGTTAATAATAAAATTGAAATTTGCGTTTTCCCTATTAAATTCTAATAACATTAAGCGCCATCCAGTGGCGTCCACGTCCTAGTTAGTAAATGCAGCGACATCTAGCGTACACGGTACATGGTAGTTTTCGAAACTGAAACCCAGAGTGGCGCATCTATTTCTAATATATGTATTATTTATTATTATATGTATTATTATCTATGATTTTATTCTTGACCGATAAAGACGACTGGTCGTTTTTATTATCCTTTAATGTTCTATTTTTCTAAAGTACGGCAACACGGCAATTAAAACAGAACATAGCGACTTTACATCAACATCCTTTGTTAATTAGAAATTAATGAAAAGTTCATTAATGCCGTACAGACTTACTAGAAATATAAAGAAGTAAAAGAAAACTATACAGGGCAGGCAGGACTCGAACCGAAACATCATGGTCAATGTTTCTTGTATTGAACACAAAATATTACAAAGTTCCTGATAAAATTTAAAAGGGTTCGAGGAAACAATTATTTTTGTATATCTTTTAATTCTTTTGATACCTCATTACTAATCATTTACGCAGCACCAAGTCGGTCTTAATCAATTATAGATCATTTTAATGCGATCATAAACTTCCAAAGTCCATTAGCCAGCCGCTGGTCGTGTGTTAATGAGCGTGTCTAACTCACTCCGAGGTGTTATAAGGTCGCGCGTCTCTCTCGCTGCTCCACTCTCGTCATGGCCGGCGTCAAGCTGCGTGTGTGTGTGTTGTCGGTGTCGCTGTGTGTGTACGGTAAGCTTGTCTCGTCCTTGTGTGTGTGTGTGTGTGTGTGTGTGTGTGTGTGTGTGTGTGTGTGTGTGTGTGTGTGTGTGTGTGTGTGCGCGTGTCTGTAGTGTGCGCGTGTCGCCAGCGTGGGGCGTGGTGTGCGGGCCGCAGTTCTTCGAGGACCCGACCAAGTTCTTCAAGCCGTTCCAACTGGACCAGGTGCACCGCGGCAGCTACAACATCACGCCGTGCATCAAGGAGCTCCTCAACTGCTGGGAGTACATCAGGTGCGCCGCTGTCCCTCCTCGCCTGCCCGTCTCTGCCCTGTGTCTCGTCCTCATAGTGTTGTTCTGTCCTCAGGGTGGACTACATGTGTTCCAACCGGTTCATCCTGGAGTCTCTGTGCGGCGTCATGTTCATCGAGTGTGACGAGTTCAAGGGCTGGAACGAGAGTGAGGACCTCTACGTGTGGAGCGAGGCTCTGTCTCCTGACGCGGCCCTGCTCATACTCAACCTCTGACTCTGTTTCAGGAGATCACATCATTATGTTCGAGGCTTACTGTCGGTGGGAGTGAGGGACGGACGAGGAAGAACAGAAGACCGCTTTAGGTATGCGCACCGTGACACCGATTAAAATAAAGTAACTAATATAAGCTAATGCACAAAAAAAATAAATTAAGTTAAATAGAATAAAAATAAAGTATGAAATGAATAACTAATGATCTAACTGTTTTTGTTACTCTGTGTCTATGAGTTTGCATTTCTTATCGCTGTTGTGTACACAATTATTGTTGCTTTGAGGGTGTATATTTTAAATTTCTTGTTTAAAACAAAATTTTTTGTAAGAATATGTTAAACTACCTAGTGATACATTTATTATGATTGTCCAAGTTTTAATTTAAAATATGTTTATAGTCATAATTTTCTCAAGTAAGTGAAATGTAATTTCTTTTTGAGAAAATAAAGTATCTTTAACCATAGAAGACAGAGGAGGGGGAGAATAATAAATACAATATTAGTCTGAATGCGTTTTTATTATTTAAAAGCATAGTCTTCGTTTAAAAATCACTGATAAAATTTAAAGAAGCTCTCCGACCGACGGATAGCAGAGGACCGAGGAACAACGAAACAGTAACAGAGGACATACAGTACAGTAATATATAGTGACATACTCTAAGACGACGAGCGAGCCTCGGGAGACGCGCTCACAACTTCTAGTCATAAATGTAAATATATTTTCAGTAAATATAATTTAAAATAGCACGATATACTTATAGACAACACCGAGCGGCGCGGCGGTAACGAGTTAGGCGTCCACACGAGCCGCGAGCTAACACTACAGAACGGTAGCGAACGGAATTATATCTGGCTAAAATAATATTAAAAACAAATGTAAACTTACGACTACCGACACACACACGCACACACACACACGCGCGCACACTCACACACACACACACGGCGGGGGGCACCCGGCGCCCGGCCCGCGCGCGAGCCCTCTCTTATAATACAATGGATATATTTGGTTCTCACTATCATCAACTCTCTCTCTCTCTCTCTCGCACGCCGTCCGTCACTGTGTGTCCGGCCGCGCCGTCTCTCACACCGTATATATAATATAATATCGCAGCAGGTCCCTCCTCAGAACAGCCTCGCCCGTCTCTTGAGCTCGTTGCGGCGCCACTGCGGCAGACGGTAGAACTCCGGCCGCGGCGCCTGCAGGATCGCCTCGAATTCCGCGTCCGACAGGTGGCGCTGAAAGAAAGAAAGAAAATTTGTTATTTGTGAACATCTTAGCGAGACAGCACTAACATAAACAGAAATAAAAAACAAAAACATAAAATAACAATACAATTAAATAATATCTAATGAAGATTAAAAAACAGAAGGTATAAATAAATCTAAACAAAATGCTGCCTACACAGCAGTATGATGTCACGAAAAGGAGAATCACTCAGCGTATGCTGTCGTTTTAGGAATTCCACACACAGAGAAACAATAATAATAATAAAAAAGTACTGGTTTAAAATAAATTAATATTTCTTTTTATTTACTTAAGATAATAATATAATGTGAAATTGCCAGGAACGATAGCGCTGATTTTCAGTGATCACCTTATTTTTGTACGTCAAGCGAACGACATTGACAATAGCCTAATATATTATATTGTGTAAAAAAAAATTTAAAAAAATACATCATTCTTCAATGAGGACAGAAAATAAAAACTAAAAATAAATTACGTGAGTAATATATACTAATTAAAATACTATTCTAATTTATATTGTATTTTAATATAATCTCAATTGTAATAATATTACTTTTGAGAATTTGTATTTATCCTAGGTATTTTAATTACATATCATTACAGAAAGTCGCAAGCATGTCGGGACGTGCAAAAGAGTTGATCCAAACCATAATATTACTCCCTACTGTATTACCTACCGTTTAATATCATAACAATCAATTAGAAGTAAAATCTCTTCACTAATTAGTCTAACCACGTCTGGTCAATACTTCACTTTGCTAATGGAACATGCACTGTAAGGTGAGTAGATGTGACTATATATTTTAAATACACATATATATACATTATACATATACAGGGTGTATGAAAAACTGTGTCAACCCTTGAAGGCATGTATACATATAAGTATAAGCTTATTATAAAAAATAGTATAACTTAAAAAATATCAAGCAGAGGCCAGTTACAGTGCATAGTCTAAATAAGTTTTAAATCGACATTATTCGAAAGAATGTTCCAAACATCTGACTCATACAAGGTCAAGACACCGTATAGTCGCAACGGCGCATGCGTGACCATTGACCGCAGGCGACGGGCCGCCGGCGTTATTATTACTATTCTGTTAGTTGTTCGTATAGAGATTTGAAAGTGTAAAAATTAGTTATATCGATAAATATTCTATCGACATTTTCAATATTGCTATAAATAGTTATGCTTTTCACATTAAAATAATTTCATTTAAAATAACTTTTATTAATAATAAATATTATAATATGAAACTTGTTCAGGTAAATTAACTACATAATATCGATACCTCCTAAGTATAATGAGTCAACTGACATTATTGTAATTTTACAGGAGAGTGATTTGAAGGCAAATCGTTTATATTTTAATGAAATCAAATTAATTCGAAATAAAGTAAATGTTTTTTTAATAAAAATTACAAGCACTTCCTTTGACATATACTGATTTTGCTGATTTTTGTTTTTAAATTACATTTTATGTAGATGACTGGGTATACGCCGGCGGGGCTCAATAGTGAGATGGTATAACTACCAGTTATATTCATATACGTTGTCCACCAAAATCCATCGTTTACACCTAAAACACATGAAATATGGTGGTCATTTTATGAATATATTTTTACTTTTATTAATTTTCGGGGTTTTCTGTCTCACTTAATAATAAAATGTTGAAATTATATCACTTGACTCATTATACGAGGGAAGTACTAGCAATGTTAGCATTTAAAACCTCAACGTATACTGGACCAATGTAATTTACGCGAGGTTTTTTATTGATATATTTTTTTAATATTTTACGATATGTGGGATTAATAAAAGCTAGGAAGAAGTACAAGAATTATAAACCAAAAAAAACTCGTTTTAAAGAATCATAATTTACTTTTCACCATAATTAAGTAGGAATATCTTTTTAAAATAATTGTTTTATAAAAAGCTAAACGTAAACTTATCACTATTAAAAATATGAATGCTCCATCATTAAAGTTCCATAAAAAACAACAAACAATTATCAATCAAAATAAAAACTAAAACAGCTTCTCCTTTAGTAGGTCAATAAAAATAATCAGAACTAAAAATGGTAACTTACCGTAAACTTTAATAAAGATTATAGAAACTAATAACGTAACAGTCTAGGTATTTCTAATGCTCAAAAATTAGTGACAAGGCTTAACAAATTAGAAATAAGTCAGAATCGCTATTGTTAGATCCATTAGAAAGCTAGAAGAAAAAACAAATAAACATTTAACAAAATATCGATGTTCCATCATCAAAGTTTCATAGAAAAACAATGAACAATCAATAAAAAGAAATTAAACAGGTACTCCTCTAGTGCGTCACCAAAAATAATAAGAACTAAAAATGGTAACTCACATTATACAATTTTAATAAAAATAATAGAAATTAATAACACAACAGTCAAGGCATTTCTAATGCTCAAAAAATATAAAGTTTAACAAATTAGAGATCAGTCAGAATCGCTGTCGTTAACTTCATTAGAGTCCGTTGAAATCAAATTATTAAAAAATAAATGGTACTCCTTAGGAATTTCCAGCGTCTTACAAAGGTCCATCAGGTCTCTGTGCTTATTTTGGTCAATAAGAATGGGTCTCTGATAAGCTAAAGAAATATTGTTTACATCAATATTTAATTCTTTCGATTTCGTGTAGCTTTAGGTTTTTTACACAATCTTTCCACTTGTAAGAATCATCTTGGTAACTCGTCTTATAAACCAGCCTAAATGGATATTCCGCTTTAACTACTTCTTCCGTTACCTTATTCCAGAGCATTTTGGGTCCATCGTTGGTAGTTGTCCAGTTGTTTATAAGTTTTAGCTGTGATTTAAAATCTTTAATTAAATCCTGCGACACTTTAGTAACTTTGTGTGGGTTTTCATCGGATTTAGCAAATCTAAAAGCTGTATACCATTGATCAGGCGTATAAAGCAACTTATCTTTAGTCTGTCTTTCAATTAAAGCGTGCATACTGTCGCCTTCATTTTGAGTGTGACCCACAACTAATATCTATAACAAACTTCAAACTAGCTAACACATACATTAAGAATACAATTCTGTTTCTATTTTGGCCTCCACAGTTGTGGAGAAGTGTGACCAGAACCGGTAATCTTTGACACCATTACTCACCGTATTCTCTATAAACTTGAAAACACAGCTGGAAATTTCATTAGCGCCTCTCTTTGCCGTCTGTTGATGCCATGAAAAACAATAACCCTGACGAGATCCCAGATTGAATATTGTGAAATTATACAAAGAAAGTTTCCGTTTATAATAAAAAGTGCTGTTTGACTCCATTTTGTTACTAATAGCACTCGACGCCCATGGTCGTATATTGAGGTGCGATGTAGTTGTATCAACGCGTCCTCCCTCACGCCCCGCGTACACTGGTACAATGTTAGTTAGATCGGTTTACAATGTATAATTTTTACTGATGTTGCAGTTGATTTAGTATACGTGAAATTATTTCGGTAATTATCGTTCTTTTTTTATTTTTTTTAAAACAAACGTTAAGATCACGACTTATCACGTACGTTTATATAAAAATATAAAAATACCTAAATTTGTTAGTTGACTCAGTATACTTAGGAGGTATCGATATGTGGTATTATTAGGATAAATCGTTAATCTATTTCTGTTAAAAATGGTGTTTTACAATCAAACATAATATTAATGTTTGATATATCAAAATAAGTATCGAAATAATATGAATATTAAATATTTATTTATTGCTATGATTTTTTAAATATCGATATTTTCAATAATGTGAAAGTAACTTCAAGGTCGTCACTAGTAGCGCAGCAGCTGTGATGACGTCATTGCGTGTCATCGTGTTATACCAGGGCATACAAACATTTTGTTTTTTTTTTTTTGATGACGTAGTGGAAACTCTTTTTACGAGCCGTCCAACCGGCCTTGGTGGGGCCGGAAGGGATGTGTGAGGCTCGGCCTGGGCAGGCCCCTACTCACTAAAACCACTGCGAAAGCCATCGGCCGCTATGTCGGTGTACCCCGGATCTGTCAGCGACAGGGCACTCCAGCGACTGGCCGGTCCTGACAAAGACCGGACTTACTCCCTCGGAGAATGGGGGCGATCCCGGCAATTAGGACCACCCCGACGACGCCGGGCTTTCAAAAGGGCCGGGTTACCACGCCGACCCCAGCCCGGAACACAGGGGTGCTATTGGAGGCGTAGGAATTGCCTCCGTCGCACCCCCGTACGTCGCCTGCGGGGGGAGGGAGCATCAGCCGCCCTCTCCCTTTCCCGCTGAGATGCCTCCTTCGTGGACATGACCGTCTCACAGAAGGAGGACACCGCCAACCAGGACCCATCAATACAAACATTTTGTTACTCTACATATAATAATCATTTAATATTTAATTTTATTATTTTTATTGAAGAGTTTGTAAATGTAAGTTGTTTTATTGTGTTACATTATCGATACTGATAACGTAGTTAAGAGGGTTGACACAGTTTTTCATACACCCTGTATAAAATTATATAGAATTATCATAGTTATGTATATATACATAGACAACCACTCTCATATACATATAATCACATACAAACACACACCCAGGCATATATGTATATTGATTATATATTTAGGTATATACATTAAAATATAAATATATCGTATTTAAAATAAAAATAGGTGAATAATTCAATTACTATTTTGCTTTTGTTTATCAAGAAGAATTTTTCTGTATTTGTTTCTAAAGTAATGAATTATATTTAGGTTCCTCAATGGCGGTTGAAGGTTCTTCCAGCACTTGGTGGCGGCATATCGAAAACTGCCACGAAAGGCGGCCGTTCTATGAAGAGGCATAAGTAGCAAATATGATTTCGATCCAGTTGCGCATGTGTTCGTTTCGTGCGCCCAACGAGGTTTGTGATAAAGATATGGTGGAAGTTTATACTTGATTACCCCGAATAAAAGCGTCATAAAATGCAGTTGCCTACGGTACTCCATTCTCATAATTCTTGCGTTGTTTAAATATTGTGTGACATTCGTATGTGGAGGTATGTCGAACAATATCTTGCGCTGGACACACACACACACACACGGTCAGTCAGCGGGGGGAGGGGACATGCTCACCTCCAGGTTGAGGCGGTCGACGTCGGGCGGCAGGCGGTAGTTGGTGATGAGCAGCAGGTGGTAGGGGTACAGCTTGGCCGGCTCGTGCAGCAGGTGAGAGGTCGCCATGTTGGGCAGCGAGCGACGCACGCCCGGCCCGCCGCCCGCACGCGCCGCGCCGCCCGCCACGCGGCACACCCCGCCCGTGGTCTGGGACACGCGCACGAGTCAGTAGAGTAGTAGTAGTATATATAAACATATGACAAGCGAGGATCACTCACCACAGCACTCCTATCGACGTCGGTGATCGATCCGGCCGAAACTGGAAACAGAAGAACATGAGTCGTCTTAGAACTGAGGGGGGGGGGGGTCTCAGCGGCGCAAGCGGTGTGGGGACACACGGAGGCGTGGAGTGAATTATACGTGTTAATGAACTATATGGTGTAAGGTGATGTCGAATACGTTAATAGTACCACCCTTCACAGCTATATGGTGATAATAATAGGAGCGACAAAGCTGACGAGTATATATATGTCTCTCCGTCCCTTTCTCTCTCACTATCTCCCCTTCCCACCCTCTCACTCTCTCTCTTTCTCTCTGGTCATACTTACTGCAGAGATCCGTCCGCACTGAGCGCACAAAACAACACGGTCAGTTAACACAGAGCATGAACCGACACAATATACATTATGTACACACTACACCCTACACACGGACCACGGAGCACGCGGCCCTGAGACATTAATACTAGGGGAGGAGGAGTGTTCTGTGACTGGAACATATTAAGGGACGGTTAAAAGTATTCAAGGGCACATACGGAGGGCATCAACCATCACCACACATGGACCCTGTTACATGTTACACGTGTCCCCGGACTCCGTCCACGTGTTCTTGTGTATCGTGTCCAGAGACTCTAGTGCGTGTGAGTTAAGACTTGGTTCTGTCCAGTAGCAGCGTGTGTCACGGACGGGCAGTCAGTTACTGCGGTATTTGTGTGTTGTCGGATGTTTTGAAGAATAACAAACATTAATCCACCCGACCCGTCTCGTCAATACTACCGTGCGTGTGTGTGTGTGTGTGTGTGTGGGGGTTGGTTCACACTCACTGTCTGACTTGCCGCTGCTGAAGTCCGTGCTGTGAGTCTTGTCTCCGAGCCCGCTGAATGTGAAGTCACCCTGGAACACGACGCCGCCTCGTATGAGATACAAGAGAACAGAAGGGGGGGAATACAACGACAGGTGCCTCCGCGGAGAAAAACATTGTTGAAAAACTATAACGAGCACAGATTTATGATTTAACAAACGAATATAATTTTGAGTGTACATGAGATACCTGACGAACAGTAATGTTACGTTAAGTTAGTAAACACTAGCTGACCCGGCAGACTTCGTACTGCCTCAATCAAGAAATAAATTGTCTTATTTATTTTTTTTGGTGTTTACCTTTAAGCCATAAATCTCCGTGTTCTGAAGTGCGACAAAATGATTGACATATTAGTTAGTTGTCAAATCTAATGTCAAAAAAACCGTTTGTATGGGAAATAAAAAAGCACTGTTTTTAAGGTTTTCCCGAAAATTAATAAATTTTTTTCAGCTTTTAAATTTTCCCTGAACCTCCACGAACATTTCAAGACTGTGATAAGATAAATCCGTTCAGTCGTTCTCGAGTTTTAGTGAGACCAAGAAACAGCAATTCTTTTTTATATACATATATAGATTAATGAAGTTTCAAATACTTCGTGTATAAAACACATGAATTTTGACGTGAAGTGGAAATACTATTGTTATTGGTGTGATTACTAGAATTAAAAAGTTTCGAAATTATTATTACAACAGAAAAACTGTAGATAAATAATATGTCGACCGATAATAAAACGATGGTAGTTGAAGCGAGGAGCGGTCTGCGTGTGTTACTTACGGCCGTGCTGGAGGAGAACGTGTGCGAGCGAGCGGACAGGCCGTACCCGGGCCGGGGCGCGCTCCGCAACGACGACACCACTGGAACACGCGCGGGTCAGGAGGACGGAGGCGGGAGGAGCAGGAGGAGGGAGGGGGGTCCGGGGCGAGTACTCACGTTACAGTGCGGCAGGGCGGCGGGCAGCGTGGCGGAGCGGGCGCCTCCCACCAGCAGCGCTACACACACACTACTATAGCGAGGCGACACACACGAGACGACGCCGCACTCACACACACACACGCGCGCGGGAGAGTGAGGCGACGTCACACACCGCTACTCGGATAATGATCACGACACGGGGACGTGACGCTACTGTACATGGATACTGGTCGATGATCATTGTTGGATGTGAGCGCGGTGTGCACTACATATTGGAATTCAAATTACATACAGTACGTACGGAATGTAAGCTTCACCGGGCCGGGCGGGTGTGTTACTCACAGTATTCACCTCGGGTCGGTGAAGTTAACATCCGTCATACATGTGTCTATGTAACTACAACTACACCGGTCTGTACCGCTGATGATGTGATGAGTCCACACAAGCACACTACTGACTCCATGCACACCTCACACTACTACATGATGCATGCGTTAGTACGGTGCGGGGAGAGTTGTGTTCCCGCTGACGTCACATGTGACCATGTCAGCGGGAACACACACATACATACATACACACATATATACATATATAAGGAAGCAATTCGGAACACATTGAACAACAAAAACGAATACAACGCCACCCGAGGAGCTCGAGCCGCTAACAGAAACAGGTGGGAAAGATCCAAGGCTCAGATGAAAGAAACAGTTCTTCTAGATAAAGTTTGTTTTTCTCTTCACCCAGCCTCACGCGGACACGGACCAGCTACAATCTACGGCTCTAGGATATCATTTAATGAACATTTATTTATTTGAGGATCCCCATTCCCCAACAAAAGTAACACAGCGTACAATTTTAGACTAATCAATACTAAATATAACAGAAATATGTGCTCTTTCAATTACAGGATACCACAGCTTGCTAATTAAATATGACTAAGCGAAACAATATGAACTTATAGTCAAAGTTAAAAATATTTAAAAAACAAAAATATTAAAAATCCTGAATTTGTTTAATATAACATTATACTTTTGTGTGTTTTTTTCACCGTCCTTCCGAGTTGGAATCCAATCCAAAAAGCATCGATTTATTCAACCACAGTTATTTTTATCAATCTTTTCAAAGTGTCTGAAGTTGCTACACTAATTCACATTAATTGACTGTCTGCAAACACATTTATATAAAAAAAATTAAGGTACTCTAAAGATGTATGTCCTTAACCCAAACTGAGCCATCTACATGTGAGCCTTCGATCTTTCAGTCCACCTTATAATATTCCGGATACGAAAATTGATCAGTTCTATTGTTTGTAACATGTAGTATTCGTATTCGGTGTCTCAGATTGTTGTTTACAATAAACAAAAAGCGGCCAAAGCGTCACGTGCAAAGCGTAATCTAAACCACCCCACCGAGTACCAGCCCCCCCCCCTCCTTCCTCCGGGTCGACGTCGAGGATACGCAGTCGACAGTCGAGGGTATTGTGATATATTATACAGGGAAGAACAGAACATTATATAATATGTATAAACAGTTGTTCATGAATGTTAGAGTAGAGCAAGTAGTGAGGACTGTTAGTGACGAGTGTTAGTACACGTCATACACACGCGAGCTGTTAGAGGCGCGGTCTGCGGCCGGTTATGGTAGTTAGTCAAATACTCAATGACTATATATATTTAATATGTAGGGCCCAGATAAATATGTAAATACATGTTATAATTTACGCGATTTTCGGTCTACAATGTGTTTTTTACATGGAATGTCATATTTAGACTGTGAAAAACCAACTTTTATTTTCCATATTTTACCATATTTCAAAGTTAAGTCCTTATTTTACAAGAAAATGTCACAATCATCCATATATTCACAAAAATACATAAAATTTACGTTCCCGCCACTAATGTTTTGAATAAAAATAAAGGATTTAAAACGCAAAACAAAATTAACAGATTCTGTGTAAAAGTTTCGAAGCCTGTAGACAGGGCTTACACAATTACTGAATTAAGCATGTTTAATTATGCATCCATCACATCATGTGACGTGGAGAGATCATTCAGCAGATATAAGGCTATATTTCAACCAAATGGTCAGTTTTCATTTGGATAATTTAAAGAAGCACATCATTGTGTATTGCAACCAATTTGATAAGGCTAGTGTCATGGAAGTTGAATAAAACTGTTATTTTGACGTGATGACGTCTTTAAAATCGTTTTAGTCGGGTGACATGTTCAGAAACTTGTGTCACACCAAAACCTCACGAGCGCGATCGCAGGTATAACGAGAGAGAGACGGACCGACCTCCCGTCTCATCTCAAGCGCTGCCAGTCATTCCGTGAAACTTGTCACGCGGAATCCTCACGAGCGGAGGCAGGCATAGCGTTCGAGTGAGTGGACCGATCTTCCGTCTCTCTCACTCTAGCGGCATACAAACGAGAAAAGTTTTCGTTGAATGTTTAACAGAATGTTTAACTTGTCATTTTACACCCGAAATTTATCATCAAAAGTGTGAATAAAACGATAGATGTAATTTAAAATTTGAAAAAATTGTTATCTTCGTTAATTCCTTACTTCCCAAAAACTTATATCACCAATAAGACGTTATCTAAACCTACTTTACAAACAACCAATTTTTTTGTTGAAATGTACATATTTTATATTTTTTAATACATATTTATCCGGGTCCTAATAATATGCAACTTGTTCGACCGTGAGTCGTCCGTCGTGTGTGTGTGTGTGTGTGTGTGTGTGTGTGTGTGTTCGTTACCGTTGTAGGAGGGCAGCGCGTGCGGCGGGTCGGGCTCGTGTCGGGAGCGGTCCAGTGAGCGCGAGGGCGAGGCTCCCAGCGGGGACGAGTACCGCAGGCGAGCCCCCGCCTCCCGCGCGGCGCTTGGCGTCCTGGGGACATCATGTATGTAGACTCATGTCTCTTAAGGTCACATCATTAGTTCACCCCTCCCCGTACCTGCTCGCGTTCCTCGGGTCCAGGTTCTGTTTCTTCCACTGCTGCAGTTTCTCTCGTTCCTTCACCTCCTTCAGGAACACCTGGAAATTAATGTATGTCCCTTATGAGTGAACAGAATGTGTTGTGGAACTCGACAGCCCGAACTGACTGATATTCGAAATAATTAATTCAATTAGATTCTAAATTATTGATGGCAGAGCATATAGAACTCATTACTGATAAGGCATATAAGCAATTAGGCTATATAAAAAGAATATGACAAACTTTTAATAATATTGAATGCATAAAAATTTTATATTTTACTTATGTACGATGTATTTTGGAATCCGGTTGTAGTATATGGTCTCCCAATTATATATGTAACTTACAAAGAAAAACTGGAAAGAATACAAAAAAGTTCATGAAATATCTTTGCTTTAAGGACTTTAAAGAATTTAACGATTATGAAACTAATATTTTTCGGATTTTACTTCGCGTTTTATTTTAGAAAAACTACATACTCCCGACGTTTCGGCTACTTTTCAGCAACCGTGATCACATCTCGTCTGCCCGTGATCACGGTTGCTGAAAAGTAGTCGAAACGTCGGGAGTATGTAGTTTTTCTAAAATAAAACGCGAAGTAAAATCCGAAAAATATTAGTTTCATTTAAATGAGTACTCGCGAAAATCTTAGATCTCATTATTTAACGATTATGTTGATATATGTAAACAATATAATTTTGAAACATTAGAAACGAGACGACACATTATGATATGTATGTTACATGAATAATTACCGGAGATATAGATTGCACCGATTTATTGAGCGCTTTGTGTTTAAGAGTTCCTAATCGCCGCACACGTCATACAGCACTATTCACACGCCTGAGCTAAACACTAACTATGCACACAACTCTGTCCTTAATCGCATGGTCCACACATATAATTCACAATACTCAGAAATTGATCTGTTCAGCATGTCAAAACTAGCTTTTAAAAAAGCTATAATTAAAAAAAATAAAAAATTCATCATAACACACACACACACACACCCACACACACACACACACACACACACACACAAACACATACACACACACACACACACACACACACACACATGCAAACACGCACCTATTGGATTCCCACCCGTAAACAGTTTTACCTTTATATTACTTTTATACTATAAGTTTTACTTTTATGCTGCCGTCATCTAGTTATTAATATGTTTAAGTTACCTGTGTAATCCTATTTTGGTTTTAATTTTATGTTATATAATAGTTAATATAGAAACTTATGTATACAAACTGTTGGATTACCAAATAAATAAAATAAACCTAAGTCCCGGACGGTAACCTTGACTCGTTATTATTATTCACTTCTCCAGGTCATTATCCCTTAGTTTTCATTTACCCATCTTTGACCGGCTCGGTTGAGTAGGGTGTTAATTCCTTATCATAATGTTTTACAATGTATATCCGTGTGTGTGTGTGTGACGTCATCACCTGCGCGATCCCCGTGTCAATCTTGGCCAGTTCCTGCTCCTCCCTCCTCAGCCGGTCGTCGTGTCCGTTCACTCGGTCCGTCTCGTCGTCGCTGTCCGGGACGCCCTTGTACGTGTCCGACCAGCGGCGGCGGCGCTCTGAAACAACACGACACAGGTGATAGGGACTATGAGTGTGTGTGTGTGTGTATGTACGAGTGTGAGCGTGTCCTCACACTGACCTGGATCAGTGTATGGGGTAGGGCGGCGCGGGGAAGTCGTCCCTCTCTATCTTGGGCAGCGTGCCGGGCGGCGGCTTGTAGGCGGCGGGGTACACCGCCAGCTCGATGGGCTCCTCGTTGTTGAGGTGGGGCGAGCGCGGGCGGGGGGTCTCACTGCGGATGGAGTCCACGAGCGCGCGCATCCCGGGCCGGGAGGACGCCTTAGAGGCGGCGCGGGACGAGGAGCGCGTGCCGCCCGCGGAGGGGGGGCGGTGGAAGTGAGGCGAGGCGGGGGGGCGGTCCGAGGGCTGCACGCAGCGGCGGAGCGTGGACGGCTCGGACGCCAGATACGAGTACGTGGTGATGCGGTGCGGGGAGCCCTCGCTGGAGCGGTACTCGCGCAGGGTCAGCCCCGGGGACACGGCGCGGTACCCGTACTGGAATATACACACACGACGGAGTTATTATAGAGTATGTAAATCATATTTAACTTATTGTATATAAATGCAAAAAATAAAAATAAAAATGCAAAATAAAACGGACCTTTCTGGTCAAGCTACTGTAGGGACTGCAGTAGGAGCCGTTGACGCTGGGTGTGCGCGAGCGGAGACTGAACTGTGACACACGGACACGTGACACTAGACACATGGACACCGACAGCGGACACGGACACTGAGGCCCGAGACCGCTGACGGGGACCGTGGAGGGCGAGTGGCAACAGAAATAAATACTACAGTAACAAAAACAGTACAGTAACGAGTAACAAAAAGATTAACAACAATTTCTTTATTTTATTAGGAAACCAACATAATGTACAATGATCTTACAAAGTCCACTACAATTAAGGCTAACTCAGCATGCATTCACAAAAAATATAAATATATATATATAACAAAGCAACATATTAAATAATATAGAATAAAGTAGAACTTCTTTGTAAGAGGTATATGGACTATTCCGCAGATATTATTTACAGTTATTTTTTATTATTGTTTTATAAGATTTTAAATTATCGTTATATACAGGGTGACTGGTGAATTACTATCGATACTAGAGGACGTGATATTTGACGATCATATATGACAAAATAAAAATTAATATAACGTAAATATTAATAAACTTCTAAGTAAAGTTAACCAAAAGTTATGTAATTAATTACGCATCGTGTGAACACCCTACAGAATAGGTATACACACACACACACACGCGCGTGCGGCGGCGTGGTGTTGTATCAGCACGCCGCCGCACGCGTTATTTTTTACACTTTTTGTTTTCATAAATTAAGTACCTATTTTTTTAATATTCGAATCGAATCATGTACCGAGTATTCTCCTTAAATATTGATAGTAATTCACCAGTCACTCTGTATATCTTTTTTATAAATACTATTATAACTTCTAAAAGTCCCTATTTAAAGGTGCCTTTATTCCTAAATTTGTTCTTGCAAATCGACATTTGAAAGTTGGTGTATTTGTATGCCTCGTGTTAGGTCTCGGTACTACTATATTAAATTGTTTTAGTAATTGAGGACAATCAATCAATGTTGCCTGATATTATTTTATGTAAAAAGGACAAGTCCAGCATATCTCTACGTTTTTTAAGCGTTGTCATATTGTAATGTTTTAATAAAGCATCATAATTATTGAGCCTAATCGTGTTTCTATGTAGTGCATGGTGTATCTGTTGTGGCTGGTGTACCTGCAGCTCGGAGGAGGCCCGCTCCATGTCGGCGGGTGTGAGCGGCGCGTGCGGCGCGGGCCCACAGCGCGGGTGCCAGATGGCGGCGCCCTGCAGGAACATCTCCTCGCCGTCCCCGAAGGGGTCCCCGCACTTGGTGCAGCGCGCGCAAGTGGGGTGGAAGTGGTGGTTGTCGCCGGCCTGCAGCACCTTGCCCGCGATGTACCGGCGGCAGTAGGCGCAGCGCACGCCGTACAGCCGCTGGTAGTCCCGCTCGCAGTAGGGCACGCCGTCCCGCCCCATGTACTCGCCGGGCAGCGCGGCGCCGCACTCGCCGCACGCGAAGCACGCCGGGTGCCACTGACGGTCCAGGGCGGCCAGCGCCTGGCCCTCGCTCAGCTCCTGGCCGCAGCCCGCGCACTCTGACACACACAAACACTACAGCTACCAACATGATCTACAGAAGACTTGAACACACCCCTACCAGACAATGGTGATGGTATTAACATATTATTGTCTTTTTATAGTTCACAACGAGTTTTTTGTTCAATGCTGAACACAAAAATAAAAATTATTTATTGTCATCTTAATGTATTTCAAAGTGATCCTTGTCTTCGTTTCCCCACACCCTCTACACACCTCTCATAAACCCTCATACAACTAATCGTTAGTCTTTTCACAGTTGATTGTGTTTTAATGGAGGGTGCGGGCGGTGAGCCCTTACGACTTATATTAATATCATAAATGTGTTCCGTATCAATTACCTGACTCAAAGATACCAATATAGTTATATCTTATATATTTAAACGAGCAATTCTTGGAATATTTATTGGAATCTCGGAATCCACTCCAACGATTTTCATGAAATTTTGTATGTTGATTTCGGGGACGATAAATCGATCTACATAGCTAGGAATCATTTTTAGAAAATGTTGTTTTTATTTAAAAAAAATACAAAAAGGAGTCGTTTAAAATATGACTCTTCCTGACATCTATTGGCGAATAGCAATACTACTTTTTGCTAATTGATTTTAATAATTTTTTAACCCTGAACCACCTAAGTGAGTATTTTTAATAATTCTACTAGACCACTCGATATTTGGAGTTTCTCTCTTATTTACGGATGAGATTTTGGACAAAATTTTACTACACACAAATAATGAAATCAAAATACAATACGTATCATATAAAAAGGAAATACAAAACGGCTTACCTATGTTTTGTATGTAAACTACCTATTTCTTAGGAATTTTTGTAAAAAATATGTTGTTACTGCTGCGAAAAAATGTAAAAGTTATGGCGTTGCAATTTTGTTTAATTTTTTATTTTTTGTTTCGTTTTTTTATTTCATTCTATTTTATATTTATTCAAATTAATTTTAGTATTTTAGAATAAAGATCTCATTTTTTTAGTATAGTTATTTATGGTGCCATAGATATTAGTCCATTTTTATAAAACATTATAATTACTTTTGTTAATTTGTGAAACACAAATAAAGCAATTAAGTATAGTCATGTATTTTATTTAACTAAACTTTACTTTCTTAGCGTCCTCTGTCACGTAGGTGTTTAAAGGACACATAGCAGATGGCGTTGCTAAGTAACAGAAAGTCATTGAGTGTTTGTTTTGAGATTAGACTATGAAATTAATTATTGTTGTGTGTCTTCTTAACGTGTTCACTTAAAATGCCTACACGAAATAAAAAAAATTATCTCAAAATAAATACTAAAAATTCCTAAATACCGAGCAAAGCTCGGTAACCAGATGTTGTTTATTTAATATCTGATGGTAGTAATGATATAGATATTTATGAGTCCTAACGTCGCGGACGGGTTATGTTCTGCATCGTCCGTCTATATCGACGGTTCCTTCTCCGATTCTCTCACTATAATGTATGTAACAGTTATAAATACGACATTAAATCCTCTTCACCATTGGGGTCTGGTTCTCTGTCCCTGACGTGGTTGTTGACGGGCGAGGCGGGCGAGGCGGGGGAGGGGGGGAGGGCGAGGCGGGCGGGGAGCGCGCGGCGCGTGCCGTCGCCTTCTGCGGGCCGGCCGAGCAGGAGGCGCACACCACCTCGCTGCCCGTGTACGTCACCTTCTCTCCGGACGGGAACGCTCGTCTGCACCAACCATAACAAACAAACGTATTAATGACATACCCTCATACATGACTCACGTCACTCACACGGCACACCGACGTCTATACTGACTTGCATCTGGCGCACGTGAAACACTTCTGATGGTATGTGTTCCCGAGAGCGGAGACCACCTCGCCCTCCACGTACTGGTTGCAGGCGGCGCACCTCGTGCCGAACGCTCGCTGGTAGTCCTACACGGAGGAAGACAGGGTTGACACATGAACTGTAAGAGTATAGAGAGTATAGAGAGGCCTGTCGTTTAATATGGTGAGGCGCGTACCTGGGGGCAGTAGTAGTGTCCGTCCTTGCAGAAGAACCCTCCTCGAGCGAGCGAGGCGGAGCAGGTCCTGCACGTGAAGCAGGCCATGTGGAAGTACTTGTCGGTGACGCGCAGCACCTCCCCGCTACACTTGCCGCCGCACGCGCCGCACACCACCTTACCTGGGGACGGACCATCCTTATACTACACTACTATCGAACAAGCCACATTCATCACACCGCCACATGTCTCGTATGAATTAATTAAAACCAATCGATCTATTAATCCTTATACACGTCAGTAGTTATGAATACCTTATCCTAGATAAACTAATATTTTCAGTCTCTAAGAGACTCTTTCACAGACTTCTTATAGATGAACGTTATTTCGGACGTTATGAGAGATCTGCCCCTTTTGGAGTAACAATATAGTTGACGGGTTAAAGCGTGACCGTGTTGAACACGGACCAAACTTTTGCTAAACTACTCTTTAATACTAATAAACTGTTTATATTTATAGTTAATATACATATATGTAGTATTTTTTAATATTTCTTAACCTGCTCCAAAAAATCTGATCAATATAGGAATTTTAAACGATATTTTTTGTAATTACTAATTTATTAGATTACTATAGAAGTATTTATCCTAAACCTTTTAGCAAAATTGTTAAAAGTTATTCATTACTTGTTATAGCCGAACTTATTTTTATTTTCTCTCAAACAAACCATCGCAACTGTAATTTCAAAATGTTTGTGTGAGTGTGGTGCACTTTATATGATAGGATCTAGTTTTGGTGATTCAATGCCTCACAATAGGCCGTCACTTACAACATCAGATAACATTGATGAGTGTCATGGAAATGTTGGAACTGGTGCGGTGTGAACGGGGGACTAGATCACGAAGACATTTATTATTGTATTATGATATATATACTAAGTTAGAATAAAAAGTGGAATATACTCATTGAGACGAGAAGTAACGCTAGAATCAATGTATCATTGACAGAGCTCGGTGTCATTGATTTTGATTTAACAAATCGTATCACATGGACTCATTCCGTGACAGACAGTACACTAGCACCCTGCCGACACATTCACTCGACGTTTGTCCGCCTGTACCTTACAAACTACTCCCAATTCACACCATGCCCTTAACTTTCATACACTAGTCACGTGTCACTCGTCACCTTACTACTCCTCCTCTTTCTGTCGTTTCCTCTCTTCCTCACTCGTTTCTTTGATCTTTCTCCATCTTTCCATTTAACAACGTCGACACTGGTGACTTTCTTAGACAAAAAACAAGACAGAATAATTTACAAAGTACATTAAATGAGACCATGTACATATTCATATTAGTATGTATGTCGCCTCACGGTCCGTGTGAGCAGCTCGGTCGAGATCATCTATAACGTGTAAACCAATATTCTCTCATCATGTCAAACTTCTCCGTGTCCTGCTCCACACTCCTCATAGTTGGCGTCGCTCCAACAGCGCCGGTATATTAGGAACATTCCGTCTGTATCCACGGCGGCTCTTCTTTTTGTCCGCGCCTGTTCCCGAGCCGGTTTACAGATACATATTCATATTCATATACATATAACAGACGGTTCAATTTTACAGGTAACAACAGCATTATATCCCCGAGTCTTATGACTTCTTGTATACAACGGTAATCATCCGTCGACGGTCGCTGAATCCTGAATTCTTCATCACTAAGACTAATATCGATATTGTTTCTTTAACCGCTACTATTTCTTTCTTAAATGTACACTTAAATAAGAGTGAGGGTGGATGCGTGTGTGTGTGTTTGTGTGGGTCGTATCCCGAGAGAACCCTTTCAACATCGGTTGGGGGTTCCTGACTCCGGGGACTCGTTGGACGAAGCATTTTCCAAACCGACATAAAACATTAACACGTGACTTACAATGGGAAATGACTTAAGATAGATGACTGTTATAAAACGAAAAAAGAGTGGACTTTGAAGGCTTTTTTGGAACCTTCCAGTGTTGTAGTCACGTAAGTACTAATCTATTAAATTCCGTGTAGCTCCATGAGCCACAATTCATATAAATCGTATATTATATGCCAGTCGTTGCTCTACAGACGGCGCTGTCAGTTGGTGTCTGTCTATTTAAGTATGTGTTATAAATTCCTCCCTGAATACATGTTCGCAGTCAGCGCGGTGTCAGTCGCGGACCTAAACTGATTATCGATATAATGTAATACACGAGTTGTAATGTCCGTGTCTATCTGTACATTATATATTGTCAATGGTCATCTAGCGCGCTCGTCTCTCCTCTAACGGACACTTCACTTTTTGTTCGTAACTTTTTGCTCTTCAATAACATCCAAAGCATCATTACCGACTGAAAAAAATCCAACACACTTTATATAACAACTACACATGAATGCGTATTACTTGAGCCAATAAATAATATTAAAGTTATTAAAGACTAAGTTATTTCAAATGTCTCATGAGCTCCTCAAACATTTATATTACTGTTACTTCGTGATTTTAATGTTCTCACAACAAATGTATTGTTATCATGCAGCATTAGACCAGTTATAGTAACAAGGTCACGAAAGTAATATCTTCTAATGATTATATTAAGTAAACAAAACACACTACACTCGATTCACACTCTAACATGTATTGACTCTCTGTAATTCTCGTAAAGTCATTATTTATAAGTTTTTACAACCGTCACTATTACCATCCGAGGCTGTAATGAAGCTGTCACACACCACGACACGAACGAGTCCTATGAGAGCTTCTCTCTTCATTATATTACATATATTGAATGAAAATTATAAATAGATTAATGAAAGTCTCTGTCACTGAGTAACTGAATTTCTGGATGCATTCGTATGTTGACAATTTTGTATGTGAATATTGTATTATTAAATTACAGATGTCTTTGTAAAGTTAAACAATATTAATGTTATGTATTTCAAACATCATTTTTAATGTGAGTACACACAACGAAAGATCTATTGCGGCCTGTGGTTCACATAGTGTTCATGAGGAGTGTGGAGCTGTGACTCTGGTCAGTGGTCATATATTAAATATAAACATTTATTATATTATTAGTCTATTTGACTTCGTGTGTGGGTGTGTGTCGTAATTCAATATAGACGAGGAACACGGAGCGGGAGACGGAGGCTATGGAGGTTAAATAATAATTATGACAATTGTAGGATATGGGTCAGGAGACGACACGTGGGAAGACGATGACGGAGTTACTGTAGAGACGGGCGGAGCCGCGGTACGACATAGTATTTATAAGTTAGTGGACAGTCAGCTGGGAAAAATTATCTACCACTTTTTTAATATTAGTAAATAAGTGTTGTAAGTATGAATGTATATGTTTAACGTTTATATGAAGGAGGAGGAGTATCAGATGGAGCAAGAACTACTTTCACGAGAACAGAGAAAGTTAGAGGAAAATGTTCCGGGAGATGTAGATGTAGGTATGTACGGTACTGAGAGAACGGCGATATAAGGAAGTGTATTGACTGGTAAAGATTAGGAAAACTGATTGTACGAAATAAAAGAAACAAAACATATTCAAGATATGAAAGTCACATTGAGATGTCAAGGTAAAAGCTTACAGCTTTTGTTATTTTAAAAACTGTAACACGAGTTGATATATTTGATTGTAGTATACAATAACACCCTCGCAGACTGACATCTCGTGTTAGAGACCGACAGCTCAATATATTATAGAACTTTCTCTAATAATGAAACACGTCTCTCACAATTAAGGTCACTTCTTGTACCCGCATCCATCAGTGGAGAGGTCAAGTGGACCACATTCGCCCCTCTCGTGTTATTAACCAACTATGTAGTTTAATATTTAACACTATAAAAAAATATATAATATGGACGTGCCGGTGTTATGCACTTCGACAATATACAATTGCGATTTGGGACAATCGGCTCTTGGCGCTTTGAGATTAGTTGAACGCAAAAAAATAATAATAGGTGGTCTCTTAGAGAGAGGATAAGAGCAGCTGTCCTTATCATATATGGTAGATGAAATATATTCAAATGAGTGCAAATTTTTGGTGACGTGGAGAGTCAAGGGTCAAGGGACACCAGGGATAGAACTAGTCAGGACACCTGTTGTGCTAACCTGACCTCGGAGTCCACTCGTGACATATAATAAGTAATTAGTTCTTTAAACGTCTTTATCGCAATCATTTAATCGCCTCTTACTACGGGATGACACAGTTATAATAATGTATGTCAATCTTCACACTCCACACGATCAGTTCTCTCGTAATAACTATCTACAACACGTCATTCGGACAGAGCGATAGTTATAATCGCCGGTTGTGTCGTGACGGCCGTACAATTAGAGTCGGTTCAATTACAGCTTATATAAAAGGGAAAGTTCCGTCGAGTCGATCGGGAGCAGCTCGTGTTCATGGACACTCTCCACGATTAATATGAAACGCTGCAGCCTCTCACGACAACACACTTCGTGTTATGTAACTAATGGAAAATATTATGATAAATATTACATTTATAATAACTATATATGTGTGTGTGTCAGAGGGAACGTCACCGTATATATTTAATGTATGTACGATGTGTCTCATCTCCGTCACATGTGGAGTGTCCCCTGCTGACTGCTGCCTCCTCGTGTCGACTGTACGTTAATATGAGTGGAGGTCGTGTCAAGGTCGGGCTCGTTTTAATGACTACACAGAACACTAAGGTCACCTCGTCGCTACAAACATACACCTAGTAGCTACATATTAATATGTTATGTCGCTAGTCTCGTTTAAAACTAAACCATCTGTAATAAATTCCATCGTAATATACATGTGTGTGTGCTGTTTTACATTTTGGTTGTTCCAATGTTAACCGGTATTACGTCATCGTTGCACGCTCACACACACACACACACACACACACACACACACACAAAGTGTCATATTGGATTGAGAATTTACACATGTAAATATTCATTTACATATTGAAAATTTAATAGCTGTTGTTATCTCACACTTAAGCATTTAAATATTTCTATAAAATGTTACGATTATTTGTTCTAGAAAAAACATTTCGTATTTTGTTACGAAGTAATAAAAGTACTAAGTATAGGAAGTTATAAATATGATCAGTTCTATAATAAACTAGCAAGCAATCCTTATAGTAGGTGAGCGTGTTAT